AGGGCGGGTGTTGTGAGAATGATGAAGTCAACATATGTACTAATGTGCTGGACACAAGTGATGTATGTACGGATTGTGATGAGTTGTATGAGCCCCTAATAAAATGATTATTTTAAAAAATGTGCTGGAAAACCCGGCTTATACACGAGTATATACGGTAAATTTTATTTGGGAGCCAAACCAAAACTCACTGCCATGGAGTTGATTACTACTCATAGTGACCCTATAGGACAGAGTAGAACTACTGTGGTTTTCTGAGACTGTAAATCTTTTCAGGAGTAGAAAGCCTTATTTTTCTCCAATGGAGTGGCTGTTGGTTTCGAACTGCTGACCTTTCAGTTAGCAGCCACTCTGGTGGTGGTCATGCAAAGTGGATGATTCAAGCAGCCTGTCACAGAGTAAGCCAATTCATGAGATGGGCAGAAGGGAGAGTGGGGATATTGAGTACTAGCAGCCTGAAAGACAAATTAAACCATGCCCATCGATATCTGCTTCCTTGAGCAACATAAGGGGTGCTTTATAGATAGAGCTTTGGGGAAGGGATCTTCTGGAGCAGTGTGCCCTATGAGATAGGCCATTTGCTTCTCGGATTGTTCTCTGCTTGGAGGCTTGTGTGTGTATTCCAGCTGCAGGTATTAACTGAATTCTTGCCTTTGAGATAAAACTTACTGACATTGAGTTGATTCCGATTACAGCGACCCTATAGGACAGGGTCGAACTGCCACTTTGGGATTCTGAGACTGTAAACTACGGGAGTAGGAAGCCTCATCTATCTTTTGTAGGGGGGCTGGTGGGTTTGAATTGCTGACCTTGCAGTCAGCAGGCCAAAGTGTTTAACCAGCTACACCAAAAACTTGTGAAGGGTAACAGCCAAGATTTTTCACTTCGTCATGAGTTCTTATAGGACTGCAAGATTGAAACAGAAGGCGAGCAAGTACAGGAAGCTTCAGCAGAACGCTGAGTCACAGCGTAGCATCAGTGGCACAGTGTGTAAGCACTTGGCTGCTACCTGAAACGTCAGCAGTTCAAACCCACCAGTGTCTTTTCCAGGGAAAAAGACCTGGCAGTCTGCTCCTGTAAAGATGATGGCCTCTGCTCCTTACTCACCTTCATGAAAGGATCACTGAAGGTCAGGGTGCTACAGCAAAGTGTGGTGAAGAAAGCAGATAGTTCCCAGCTGTCAATCAGAATAGTGTCTGGAGTCTTAAAAACTTGTAATCAAACAAGCAGCCATCTAAGGGAGGAGTCATCTAAGTCCATACGGAAGAAGTACACCAGCTTGTGTGTTCCAAAGACGACAATAACAAAATTGAAATATGACAAAGGGAAAAGTATCAGAGCCTAAATTGCGAACACCCAATTTGTAGAATTCTATGGAGGACAGTGGGAGCCCAAAACCCATCTGCAGAGTATCTAGTCAGATCAAGCCACTGGCAGATCCCCTCTAGCCACAGGCAAGGGTCTTGAACAGCCTTACTATCAGAGATCATTGTCATCGTGATTATACTGGATCAAACTTGATACTTGGTCAGTTGTCCTCCCTTGTGACCCAACCAGAAATTGTTCTAGGTGCAAGTATTTCTTGCTTGTTCCATGACAAATATTTCTTCCCTTGCCTTTTAAATATTCATTGCGGTCTTTTCTTTCTTACTCATTATTTATATTTTTATCTCTGTATTATTATTATTTTATCCTTAGCGCTTTAAACAAAAACAAAGGGTTCAGCACAGAGGAGAAGGCTAAACAAAAGTGTCTTACACAAAGGAAACAGGATCATGGCCTGGGAAACCCTCTGGAGGCAGTTGCATTCTGTCTGACAAGCCCACACTGAGTGGGAATCAACAGTGGCTCTGAATCCTAACCCGATATTCTCCATTACGTTTCTGACTAGTTAGAGAACTTATTTGCGGCCAGCTACTAATCAGTGACATGTTTAAATGTGTTGCTTGGAATAAACAATGTGTATGACCTGAAACTCTAGTAGCAACTTCTTGACTTACCCTCATATGGGATCCATGGATACTGATCATTTTATTTGTTCTTTTCCAATCTGGATATCTTTAAATTCTTTTTCTTATTATTCTGGCTAGGGCTTCTAATATTACCCAGAAGTAGTAATAGTTGGTACTTTTGTCTTTTTCAGAATTCAAAGGGAAATCTCTTATCTTTATTAAGTATAATGCTGATGACTCTTGGCTTTTCATGTGTCCTGACCATATTGAGGAATTTCTAGTTCAATCTTAGTTAGGGTTTTCATCAAGAAACAGTGTTGGCGTCTTGCTGATAGTTCTTGAGTCAGTACAACAGGTGCCTAGCGTTGGCAAACTAGATTCCTTCTTTTACTTGGCTTTAGGCTTTGGTTCTTTGGAACAGCACTTGAACAGTTTCCCTTGTAAAGCCTAGTTTTCTACCCTAAGGTTTTCCTTTCCCAGGGTAAGTTACAAAGAAGATAGTTGGATACTTTACAAATAAAGTATCCCTGGCCTACAGAGAGGATTGGTTAGTTTGTGGAACCTGCTAGGAGGGCGAGGGGGTACCTGGAAGTTGAAAAGGAGTTGTGTATTAAGCAGCTAACCCCTCAGTAGAAAGAAACGTTTGGAAAGCAGAAGGAAGAACAAAGTGAGAAACAACAGAGAGAGGGGGAGGGGGGGGGCGGGGAGGCAGGCAACTTCCTATAAGAGCTTTAACACCAGTCAAAGACCATATCACTGAAGAAAGTGAGAGATCTAGAATGGGCGCAGTGACAGAACCAGTGGTGACAGGCAGCAGGAGCAAGAGAACGCTGCCCTGAGAGTGTCCGGAGGAGCCTGCTCTTGAGGCTGAGGGGAGCTGAGAAAGCTGTCTTGTACTGAAGAAGGCAGATTTTGCCTACCTATTTCCACCTCCTGTTTTTGAGTTGTATTCTGTTCTTTAATAAACCACTGAACTCTAAGTGCAGTTCTTGAGTTTTGTGAAACAGTGACTTGCTGAACCCAAATGGGGGAGAGAAGAGTACTAAGGAGAAGGAGAGGGCTGGTGCCAGAGGGGTGGTCCAAGAGCTTAGAGAATGTGGAAGTCTCGGTTCTTTTACTTCCACTTGGTAAGAATTGGCTTTTTCCTGGTTCTTTCATTTTATATTACTGATACCAGGGGTTAACAAATATGTATATGTTTATATTTATACTTTAATGCAAACTTACTATTGGTCAGAACAGAGGGACTGTTCCTGTGGTGAGTAAGAGTTGCTTTTGGTAGGAAGCTTTTTGGAAAAGTGTGTCTGCATGCCTTTGCTGTAATTCTCGCTCTCTAAGACCATTACATGGCTCCTGGGCATTTGCCTCGTAGTGGTAAAATGAGAAGGGTGGCTTTGGTGCTGAGATGGCTCCCAGCTCTACCTATCACAGGATTATTGTCATTCGTGTTGTTAGCTGCCATTGAACCGACTCCCAACCCATGGGAGCCAGTGAAACACTCCCTGTGTAACAGGCTGAAACGTGGCCCAGTTCAGCTTCGTCTGCAGGATTGTTGTTGTGACCCCTGTATTTAAAGTGCCTTCTAACCCAGGAGGTTGATCTTCCAGCACTACAGCAAACAATCTTGTTTGAAGTCCATAGTTTCACTGCCCATTTTTGGAAGTCCGTGCTTGTCAGGCAGTGATGGCTAGTGTGTTGCTCTGAGGCTGGAGGCTATGCCACTCTTATTTCAAATACCGGCAGGTCACCCATGGTGGACAGGTCTCATCAGAACTTCAGGACTGGAATAGGCTAGGAAGAAAGCTCTGAAGATCGACTTCTGAAAAGATTGACCTCATGAATAGCTCTGGAACATTGTCTGACAATAGCGCCATAAGATGGGCCCCTCAGGTTGGAAGGCACTCAGAACAAGACTGCAGAAGAGCTGCCTCCTGTAAGTAGAGTCCGCCTTAATGATGTGGATGACAAAGTACAGGACTGTCACTTGGCTGATAGGGCACAAGTGACAACAAGAAGAAACAACTGCAGACTTCACTAATCACCAGAATGTGGGATGTGTGAAGTATCAGTCTTAGAAAATGGGAATAAAAAATGGAACACACACAAATTGAGATCCTGGGCATTAGTGAGCTGACGTGGACTGATGTTGGCCATTTTGCATTGGGCAATCTCTTGGTACTATGCCAAGAATGACAATCAAAGAGAAATGACTTACATTTGTCATACACACACACACACACACACACACACACACACACACACACTTTTGTTTACAAGATCGATACTGAAATACAGGAGCCTTGGTGGTGTCGTGGGTTACATGTTGGGCTGCTAACCACAAGTTCAGTTAAAACTACCAATGGCTTAGCAGGAGAAAAATGGGACTTTCTACTACCATGAAGAGTTGCAATTTCAGAAGCCCACAGGGGCAGTTCTACACTGTCCTGTAGGGTCACTGAATCAGAATTTACTCAATGGCAGTGAGTTTTGGTGTCCTGAAGTACAATGCTGTTAGTGATTGGATAATGTTAACACTCGTACAAGGGGAAAGATGCGACTTTCTCTTCCTTTAAAGAGTTACAGCCTTGGAGACCCACCGGGGCAGTTCTACTCTTGTTCTGTAGGGTTGCTATGAGTCAGAATCAACCCCATGTCAGTGAGTTTTCAAGGAAGACTAATAGGAGTATTACTCAGATTTCTTCTACCAATCAATAATGCCCAAAATGAAAAAATTAGATTTTTGCCAACTCCTGCAGTCTGAAATTGATCAAGCATGCGATCAAAATGCATTGATGAGTTATTGGTAATTAGGAATGTGAAATTAGGAAATGAGAAAGGATCGGTGGTTTGGTGATAGAAACAGCTATAGATCACGTGATAGAATTTTGCAAGCTCAGTGACTTCTTTTCAAATTGCTTTTTCTACCAACATAAGGGTGACTATACGTGGCCCTCACCAGATAGAAACATCAGTCAAGAAATCAAATGGTGCTTCACAACTCTTTTTAATATATTTTAAACCCTTGAGCTGTATGATTTGTGAATTATATGTCAATAAAACTATGTAAAAAATCAAATGATATTGGATTGGGCAAGTCTGATGCAAAAGTTCTCTTTAAAATATTATAATGCAAATATTTAACTTTGAAGACTGGTGCACCTGTCCCAAGCCATGGTATTTCCAATCACCTCATAGGTGAGCCAAAAGCTGTACTCATTGAGTAAAGAAATCTGATAAAAATTGATACATTTGAATTATGGTGTTGACCAAGAATATTAAAAGCACCATCGGCAGGCTGAACAACCTATCTCTTACAGCCAGAATGCTCCTTTAGAAGCAAGGGTGGTGAGACTTTGTCATGTCCTTAGGGCTTATTGTCGGGAGAGACTCACCCCGGAAAAAGACACGGTGTGTGGTAGAGGGCCAGTGAAAAAGCAGAAGATGCTGAATGAGATGAATTGATAGAGTGACTGCACCAGTGGGCTCAAATACAGCAATGATTGTGAGGATGGGGAAGGACTAGGCAGTGTGCTGTGTGTTGTACATAGAATTGCTGTGTGTTGAACACATTAGATGGTACCAAACAAGAACAATTTTCAGAAGTAAGTCCTCAGGCCTTTCTGTTCTTTTTGAGTTCATAAGTTCTGCAGAAATCTCCCTGTGGGTGACCCTGTGCTAGTATTTGAAATACCCACGGCATACCTTCCACCATCAGAGGAGTGGCTCAAGCCACCACTGTATTGTGAATGACAGACAAGTGATGGGTTATTTGTGTAGTAATGCCATAATTAAGGTGATTGATATTCAATGTGGAAGAACATGTGTATTTTGTATGACTTAATTTTTCCAACTGCTTTGGGTAAAGAAGCAGGTATGAAGTTAACTTGTCCAAGATCATGTGTCTTCTAAGGTTGATAAAACATTTTTTCTCCCTAAGGGTTTTACTGTATTTCTTAGCCTGTAAAAAGCACGTTGCTTTCTGTATTCAGTGCTGTGCTGCTGCTCCTAGGGTTATCTGTTCTCTCACTGGCAGCCAAGGCATGGTGATGCAGTGCCTGATGGCTTTGGTTGATGAGATGGTTATACTTCCTTTTTCTAACTTTAATTTTCATTTAACAGCTTTTAACCTGCATTATTGAGTGGCATTGATTGCATTGTTCCCATTGTGCAGCTATCCACACTGCATTTTGAATGCTTCCTCTGTGATACTGATGTCCTGATAGCACTCGAGTTTCACGTTCATTCTCCCTTTTTTTCCAGGATGCTGTGCTCGTTTCTCTGCTCGCAGTAGTCTGTACATTCACTCTAAGAAGCATGTCCAGGATGTGGGCACTTCAAAAAGCCGCTGCCCAGTTTCCAGTTGTAATAGACAGTTCACGTCCAAACACAGCATGAAGAATCATGTAGCCAAACAGCACAACTTGCGCCAAGGTCCTATCATTTTATATGTCTCTTAGAGTGATAATGATGTATATACCTGACACATGTAAGAGGGCTTTTTTACCCCCTAGGTGGAGAGAAGCAAAAAGAGCGTCACTTTCTTCTCACCTCATTTCAGACATTGCCCAGTTCTTGGCTCAAGTTATTCAAAGTCTTACTAAGCATAGTGCCCTTTTTTTAGGCTTTCCTGCCACTTCTTTGCCTCTAACTTCTAATTCCTCCCTTGTCTTTAAAGTGCTTTCATGAAGAATTTTCCATCTTGCACTTGTTTGGTTTTTCCTAGCATGTGTCTTCTACATCTTTCTTCTATTGTGACCTTTGTCCTGAGTTCTCAGCCTATCCCTCCCAAATTTCTGTGCCCTTTGATTCTGACTTCTTCAGAAGTCCTATCATTCATTCTAGGCTATGGCACTCAAATCCAGCTTCTCGGTTGATCTTTTGAGCTGATTCCAGACTGCTAAGGTTTGTTTTCTTTGGGAGGTAGTAGCGTTTGGAAGATCGTAAGAATCTGGTGGTGGGGATGTGAGGGCTTGGAAAGGGGAGAGATCAGAGAGAGGGAATATACAATGGCCCATATGAGTTTAGAGAGGAAGGTTTGGGAGCACAGTTCTATTAGGCATGGGACTAGACACTTGCCCCTGGGGTCTTGTTTGTAGTCTTAACAGGCAAGACATTGTGTGAGTCTGGGTAGCAGACTTTCCAGGCTAAGGACAAGATTACTTACTCACACACCATGTAGTCGGGGCTGCTGACTAGCAACTTCTTACTGCCATCTGTTTGACAGGCAGCAGCATGGTGTGGATTGAATAGTTCCCAGGGGTTGTGGCTCTTCCCAGCTATGTGACATCCTTTGAGCCCAGTTCATCTTTAAAATGGGAAGATAATTTAAGTAGTTTTCAGAGTGAGAATCCATGTTAAATGTGTAATGCAGAATTTTTAATTTCTTAAAAAAAACAAAACATTTTCTTTCAAAATGTTTGCTGAGTCAGTCCCAGACTCCTGGTGACCTCAGGTAAAAGTCTATTGTAAACCACTTGTGCTACCTGGACTCACTTTATTGGAAAAAAATGGTTGTTTTTATAAAATTAAAGTAATATGACAACTAGAGGAGATATATTATGAATTCGAGTTTTCCTTTGGGGTTTAGGTATCTTTCACAGGATGCATTAAAAATATAATAGCCACAGCTAGAGTTTTCTTGAGAAAGAATAATGTGGAGGCTTTATTGCTCAAATTAATTTTGCTCCTATTTTCCTGTTTGCTTGGTATATAAAAAAGAGGCCCTAGATTGGTATGATTGGTATGTGCTTATATGTATGATACAACCTGACTATTCATTGAAAACTTTTTTGAAATATGTGACATTTATTCTCCCAATGGTCTTCTGATGGCTTCAGTTGCTTAAATGATTAACAAATAGTCCTAATATCCTGAAGACTGTTCTGGTCAAAAGGTGCCTACTGCCTAGTTATTTCTGTGACTAGAGACTCCAAGTGACTCCTAGAGACTCCAAGTGAAGACGTATCTATTAGAATTCCTTCTACTGCATATAATCATTAAATGTTGCTTATGGGTCAAGCACTGGCTAGGTGCTGAGAGTACAGAGATGGGTCAGACAGGGCTCTGCCTTCAAGATAAGCATTGCTTGCGAGAGCAAGAGGGAAGGGAAAAGAAAGTTGCTTGAGTTTGGAAAGACAGTGCTTAGGGAAATGAGTCACAATGAGTGCAGTGATTGGATTCTAGACCAACCACCACCAAGGAAAACTTCAATGAGCTGAACACAGGTCTGGGGAACTGGGGTGAGCCTGATGTCCAAGTTCCATGTGTTTAGCTAGAGCTTTGCATCAGGCTCTGCAGAAAAGTTTTGTTCCTATTGGCCACCTCCAGATAGGGCAGCAGCTAGTTGTGGAGTGAGATTGTAGAATGTTATGAGAGATAGCTAACATAATAAGCTCATTCCAAGCATACTCAGAGCCAGAGTCCCGCTTGTAACTGACTCCTTAGTGTTACCGATTACTGTGACTTTTGTCAGAGTTATTTTCTCTCTGTATTTCCTTGGTTTGGAAGAGTCCCTGCTGGCTTGGGAATTTGAAAGGATGTGTGTAAATAGCACACCGATGACCATCCTGTCTTTTGGTTGGGCGTCTCGATCCTCTTTGATGTCTGGAGGAGGGCGTCCCCGTCAGTCATAACTAGGCAGCAAGTGACATGAAGAGTGATAGCCTTGACAGTCACTTGCTAACATCTTGAGCAGAAACAAAATTTGTTAGTCTTCTGAGATCATATAGTAACTGGAAACTTTATTCTTTTTTCAGATATTCTAACTCACCTAGAAGCTGCAAGTTCTCTTACACCCAGCAGTGAACTTACCAGCCCAGGACAAAGTGAGCTCAATAATATAGACCTAGTGTCTCTCTTCTCTAGTGCATCTGGTGATAGCAGTAGCTCGACAGTCGCATCTGACATGACATTGGTGAACTCTGGAATCTTGACTATTGATGTTAATTCTATGAGCTCATCTCTGGGAGGAAACCTTCCTGTAAACAATTCCTTGGGACAAATGGACCCTCTGGTGCTCGTTGCCAATAGTGACATTTCTCCCAGTCTGGATAGCCCCCTGATGCTTGGGTCAGCAGCCACGGTTCTTCAGCAGAGCAACTTAAATTCAGATGATGTGCAAACTGTAAGTGCAGAAGCATTGGGTTGCCTGGTATCCCTACCTGTGAAGAATTTGAGTCACGACCCACAGGCTTTGACCTCCAGCAATGATGCAGCATTGAACATATTCACACCAACCCCTTCAACCAGCCCCAGTGGAAACAACCATGTCCCAGAACTGCTGGCTCCAATCAAAATGGAGCAGAGTTTGCCTCCTGGCCCAGATGCTGGGCCACAAGAAAGAGGCAAAGTGGTGTCCCAGTGTGCGCTCTCCGACCCGGCAAAGAACTGCAGTTCTCAGAAAGACACAGACCTCGGTGCAGTGCCTGGCAACTTGTATTTGGTATGAGTGCTATATTCAGTCACCACCACATAGCTCACTCCTGTTACACTCAAGTTTGAGGACATTCTGGATTAATCATTTATATGCAGACATTTCTTACTGGTTAACAAAAGAAGACAGTGCTCTGGCCTACAAGTTTGGAATTTGAATTCTGATTTTGAGTCTGGAACTGACTAGTTTTCACAACCTTGAGCAAATCACTTAATGAATCTGAGCCTTAAATTCTCACTTATTTCTAAAATGGGGTGCAGGCTTGACTAGATGATTTCTAAGGTCCTGTTGAATTCCGTTACTCCATGATACTCTATTCTTGGACAAAAAAGGTTATTTCATAATATTCAATGGTTTGCCTTTATGTGTTTTACATAGTAAGATGACCTTAGGGTTGCTAATGATCAGAGAAAGAGGAATTACAATGTAAACTATCTCTAAAGGTTTACCGTAAACTTTAAAACCATGTCAAATTTTTTTAAATTAGAATTTATTAAAAGGACATAATTTCTGAACCTTCATGCCTAAAGAATTGTAAATGCTCCAGTTTTGAGACTGAACGTTTAATATACTTTATATCAATTATGCATTTAATATAACGTAGAATAATCTGTTTCTTCAGTCTCAGATGGGAATGATCACATCATTTTCTCTGTGGCATAGGTCAAATTCAATGGCAACATTGATTCTGTGCAAAAATGTTCAATCTTTTCCATTAGAATTGTGAGAGAACCTACTCACTGATTTAACATGAAGCCAGTTTTTTATTTTCAGTTTGAAAGAAGTACCTTTTCTTTGTCTCTCCTTTTTTGGTATCTTATTTTGTCACCGTCATAGCCATAATTCTAGCATTTGCTTAGATTATCACACAGTTGCTAAATGGGCAAGAATTTGGAGATGGACTACAATTAAGAGATAAAGGGGGAGATCTGTTCCCATGGCATGGACTTAGTGTCTTAGTAGTTTTACACTTCACACCATCTCCAGAATCGGGACTCTGAGGGGAGGCGGGAAGAGCTAGCAAGACCTTGATCCTTATCCCATGTTCGTTTTTTTTGCTAGAAGTTTGACCTTGGGCAGCCTCGCTTCTCTTGAGTACAAATGGTATGTGGTGAATGGGTCTCAGGTATGCCACAAATTGCTGAGGGTAGTTCGTTCTTTTGTGCAGTACTGACTATTAAGCCATTTTTATTTGAAACATTCCTGGAGTTACAAACAGGTGTTTGGTGGACTTCCTCAGTAAACTTTCTGAATGCAGTAACTAGTGTTTTCGCGCATGAGACTTGGTAGCTCTTGCCAAGGAGACCTCTGCAGGGGATATGGAAACAAGAAGCTCCCCAGTCTGCTGTACAGATAATGTTTTGTGGCATATTGTTGAGGATGTTGGGAAATCCAGCAGTAAATTAACCCTGAGTCCCCAGGGGAAGGCTGCTTATACACTTCAGAAAGCAGAGAAGTGTGTAATTCATCTTATACATTTCTATGTAATATATTTTAATATGTTTTAGGCTGGAGAAATAAACTTTGCTTCTCTGGATAATAAAATTCTGTATATTGTTCCACTTGTGAATTTGTTTAGCTCTCACTTAGTTGGATGTGGCATTTGATTCTTTCTATGCCTCTGCTGGAGAGACTAGAATGATTATTTGAGCTTTAATGTATACAAGGAGCAGACTTCTAAACGTCAGTAGTCCACCTGCTACCCTTCCTTTGCTGTTTAGATCCAGTGACTGACAAACTTTTCTTTGGTCTCAGGAAAGTGGGGGCTCAGCAAGAACTGATTACCGAGCTATTCAACTAGCCAAGAAAAAAAAGCAGAAAGGAACTGGGAACAATGCAGGTGAGGATGTGTGTGTTTCAGTGGTTAGTTTCTCAGGTCTGTTTTCTTCTCCTGGAAAAGTTTTCTTGTCAACTAATTAAGCACAGAAGAAACAAATAGAATAGGCATTTTTATAGTCTTTATATGACTTTTATGTTCTAACTGCTCTTATATCTCTCATCAGTTCCTTAGTTTCATCAACTTAGGAAAAAGAAAAAAGAAACAAAATCCCCAGCATCAGTATGGACATGTTTTACTTAAATTAAAAAAAAAGCAGCTGGTGGGAGTTATATACTCCTGTCACTTGGAAGTTTTCAAAATTAACCCGAAGTCATGAGCAAACCCTGAAGTTAGGTGAGCAAAATAGGCCAGGTGTAAGTTAAGCAGAGTTGGAAACTTGTCCACAAATGGCCTTTGGAATTGAGAAGACACTGGGCGTGAAAGTCTGGTGGCATCGTGAGCTGCATGTGGTTTAGAGTTCAGCGTGGTATTGAAATCATTGTGAAGAGTCAGTACTTCATTTGAAATTTACATAGACTGTTTGGACCAAGTGAGACTGAGCTTTTATAACCTCGTGCAAGTCTGTTGTGAACATGTTATCATGGTATATATACAGTGATTAAAAGAAATGGGAAAAATCATAACATTGGATTCTTTTAATACCTGAGTTTTCCCATCTACTTTTTTCCTTTTTTATTCATTTGTCTCTACTAATTTAAACATGTCAGTGGGCATGTAGGTCGAAAAACCCCGTTGCCATCAAATTGATTCCCACCACTCCAGGTGACACCATGTGTGGCAGACTAGAACTGAGCGGCTGAAGACTTTGTTGGCTGTCATCCTCATGGAAGCAGATTGATTGCCAGACATTTTTCCTATGAAACTGCCAACTGTTTGGGTTTTAGTCCAGCATAAACTGAGCCACCCAGGCTGCCTGTCTAAGATCCATAATATTTTATATCTTGCCTTCAATTATTAACATGGCTTTAAAAATAGTTTGTTAATCAATTTCCTAAAAGCAGATACTTTCGTATAATGAACATTGTACATGTCAATAGTAATTGTGATTTAGGAAAGTACTAAACAATGTCATTAATATCATATACAAGTAAAATTACAGTAGTACAGCAACAAGGAGCAACCAGAAATTCTAGCCAGATTCAGAAAAGAATGGAATGAGGGTTATCGTTGCTGTTGTCAGATGCTGAAAGTAGAGGATACCTGAAAGCTGTTACGTCTGTTTTGTTGAGTAAGCAAAGACCTTTGACTGTGTGGATCATAACCAACTATAGATAATATTGAGAAGAATGGGAATTTCCGGACGTTTGAATGTTTTGTGGCATCTATGTACGTTCCAAAGGACAGTTATTCATGTAGAACAAGGAACTAGTGTGAGGTTTAAAATCAAGGAAGGTACATGTCAGTTATATTCTGTCACCATCATTATTCATTCAGCTGGACAAATACTCTTGAGAAGCTGGACTATAAAGAAGAGCTCAGCATACAATTGGAGGAAGGCTTAATAACAGCCTGTGATATGCAGAAGGCATAACCTTGCTTGCAGAATGCCAGGAATTAAAGCAGTGATGAAATCAAAATCAAAGGCTCTAGTACTGATTGGAAGTCAATGTAAAGAAAACGAAACACAACTGGTCTAATCCATTACATCATGGAAGATGGAGGAAACATTGAAGTTCTGGAGGATTTCATTTGGCTTGGATCTAATCTGTGCTCATTGAAATAACCATCAAGAAATCAAACTACATAGAACATTGGGCAGATCTGCTGTACAAAACCTTTTTAATGTATTGAAGAGCCAGGGTACAACTTTGTGGACTTAACGTGTCCCTGACTTCTGAGCCACGGCCTCTTCATTTACTTAGTAGGCATGTGAAAGTTGTCAATGAAAAAGGAAAGTACCACTAATTTCTAGAAGAACAAATCTGTGCTTCAAGAAGTACCGCCAGAATGCATCTTACAAGGGCAGATGGCAAGACTTCATCTTACCTACTTTGGACATGTCAGGAAAGACCAGCCCCTGGTAAAGGGCATCATGTTTGCTAGAGTAGGGGGTCATTAAAAAAGAGGCAGACCGTCTTACCAGGTAGGTGAACTGGCAACAGTGAGTGCAAACAAAACAGCTGTGAGGAGGACGAATAACAAGTGTTTTGTACAGAGGGTCGCTGTGTGTGGAAACCAACTTGATGGCACCTAACAGCAAAACTGTAGGAAGGGTTACCTCCACGGTTCACAGATGACCAAAATAGGGCTTGTAGAGACAAGAGAGTCTGGCGGTGGTGGTAAAAATTTGTAGAAGGAAAGAACACATACCACACAATGAACAAAAGACCTTTTGTTCATCTGGCAAATAAGCTTGAAGTTGACAAAAGGAATATGACAAGCATTCTGATAAATAAAACATGAAATTCACGGCATTGAATCAGAGTGACACCGGTAGAGGTGGGGTTTTTGTTTTATTTTTAAACAAATATTTCAGCATTACCATTTAAAAATAGACACTTAAAAAGTGTAGGTTCGTTTTTGTTGCCATGCCTTTACAACTTGACAGTACTTCTTTAATACCAGTATTTAGCAAGTGTTTAAAACTTTGATTTGTCTCACTTTTAATTTTTTATAACTGTCTTTCTAATCAGAATCCAAATAAGGTTTACATGCTATTATTTATTAGTGGTTCTGAAATAGTCTGCGTCTCTCCCTTTATGTTTGGTAAAGTGCAAGGGCCGCAAAAAGGGGGAAGACCCTTGATGAGCAGGGTTGGCACAGTGGCTGCAGCCGTGGTCTCAGCCGTCAGAGCAATTGTGAGGACGCGCAGGACCGTGCGTGTCTTGTGCTGTTGTGCACAGGGTCGACAGGAGTCGGAGTCGACTCCCTTCGTATAATTGTTGAAGAAGAAATGGGTTGGTTGTCAAGTGTGTTAAACTGGAACTTGCATTACTGTGGTGTACTTTTAACAGGTTACTTTATCTTTGTGTTTCTGTAAGTTATTATCTTTGGGGGCTTTTTTTACAGTAGAAACATTTTCTTATAAATGTAAAGACTTACGTTCTGTTACCCACGTGTCTTCTCTGAAATACCCTGTAGAAGTAATATAACCTTATGAATGACAGAGGAATGTAGGTCCACAGCCTCTTTTCCAGAACCCTTGCTTGGAGATAAGTTTAGACTGTGGAAGAGCTTCCCTGGCTAGTGATACTCCATGCCTATTGTTTATACATAGTTGTTGGGAGGACTTAGTCCTGTCAGAACTCCACTGGGGGAGAATAACTGGAAGCTTTGCCCAGGAACTCCCTTGACCATACCCCATCTGCCTTTGATTTTAATTTGGATGTCCCCCTACTGTGATAACGCTTCTAACCCTGCTTGCCCTGTTGTGGGTTCCACATTGGCTGCTAACTGTAAGATCAGCAGTGTGAATTTACCAGCTGCTCCGGGGAGAAAGAAGAGACTTTATGCCCTCATAAAGATTAATAACCTCTAATCCACTGGCATTTATACTCTGTCCTATGGGGTCAGAATCTACTCAGGGACAGTGATTAGGGAATTTTATGGTGATACACTCTACTCTGCTTCCCCAAACATTGCCATCTCAGATAATCATAGTCGGTTTGTCAAACTAAAGAAATGAACACTCTGAGTTTCACAGTTAGTTGAACACTCTATGCATTGATTGGACCATTGTTTTCCACCTGTGGTATTTTGCTCTCCCAGGATCCAGTCCAGGATCTCATGTTGCCTTGAGTAGCCGCCTCTGACAATTCCATTCTTTCCGTGTCTTTTGTGACACTTTTGAAGAGTATTGGTCAGTCATTTTGTAACGTGCTCTTCTATTTGAGTTTGTCTAATGTTGTCTTATGATTATACTGGGGCTGTGGATAGTTTTTGAAATAAGAGGTAATAGACTAGACTCTTGTTACCTTATCGCACTGAAGTACTTGGGTATCACTCCAAGGTACATGGTTCAAGACGATTTATTACTAGTAATGTTAACTTTGATCACTGGTGTTGTTAAGGTGCTGTCTGCCAGATTTTTCCACTATAAAATTACTATTTTTCCCTTAAGTTAATAAATCATTATTTTGAGAGAGATACTTTGAGACTGTGTGCTAAGTTGTGGGGCCCTCCAAGATTAACATTAGGTTCAGTAAATCTCTAGAGAGACAGAACATTCTCGAAAGTTGTCAGTTTATAACCATGGTATGGTTTTATCACATTGAAAGAATACAAGTTACCATCAAACAAGGAAAAGTATAGCTTATCACAATAATAGATCATTGAACGTAAATATTTTATTCACATCCTGCATGTTATTAAAACCTAGTACAAGGCTGCCATAGATAAAGATGGTGTGGAACCCGTTTGCCTCACAGGCAGCGTCCTGAACCAGAAGCAAACATAAGACTATTCATCTTTATGTGGGAAAGATGGTCTCCAAATCTCCAGATCTCATCTGTAACAGCAGTAAAAATAGTAGAACATTGCAAGATCACTAATGGCAGACATTCTGTACACGTGGGTAGAAATATCTAGTGCACAGTAGTTTTAAATTCCAGTCAAACAATCTCGAAAGGAGCTTAACAGAAAAATGAAAACTGCCCTTTTAAGTTTATCTGGAAAAATAATTGAGTAGTAACGGTGAGAGACTTGCTCTACTGACGCTCAGGCTGAGCAAACCCGTAGCAGTGGACATGTGAGATGCGATACGTGCAAGTTTCTCAAGTCATTAGGGCAAGGAAAGGAAGTAGCCATTTAGTGGCTTGTATCATGATTAAATGGCTTTGTGTGAAAGTTTACAGAACAAATTGGCTTTTCATTCAATTCATACAGGTTTTTTTTTTAACATTAATTGCCGTTCTCCCAATGTAGCAGCACGCTTCCCACCAGTTTCCTGCGTTTACTATTTCCCTTTGTCCTTCCACGCACTGCTTTGTGAACTTTATTTCTGGGTGGATGTTGCCCTTTGATCTCACGTGGTTGATTACTATTCTAAAGGGCACATTCCCTGTTGTTACTGTTCAACTTAGAGGCCTGCCTATTATTTGAAAGTTGAGCCAGAAGGGTGAGTTCATTTCCAGGTTTGAAGGATGTCTAAAGGACATACGTAGTCTCAGGGCTCAATCATTCTCTATCAGAACAGTAATCCTAATCTTTATATGATTTTTAGTTTTATCCCACATTTTTGCCACTCTGTTCAGGACTCTTACTGTAATCACTTTCAGAGCAGTGTGTGTGTGTGTGGGGGGGGGGACCTGGGGGCTATCAAATTCTGCTCTCAGGTCAGGGTCACTGCAGCTAGGGTTCACATGATCGATTCTTTGGACCAAATTCTTTTGTGTATCTTTGATTTTCTTTACTTTGTGTTGTTCGGGAGTGGGAGAAACTAATAGTTGTACCTTACATGGTTCACACACTTTTAGGCCCTAGTCACACTCACCAAAGTAGTTTTAGAACACAGTGTTTTTGGACTGTATGATGCCAGTTGGCTTAGTGCCTGCTGAGACGATGTTCCTGAGCCCTTAAGGTGTTTGATTATGGTTAAGAAGTTTTCACGACTTTTCACCCTGTATGTTGCATATTTATAGGTGTATTTGCAGCACATGCAAATATATTTGTAGAAATACTTTGTCATATATGCATATTTATTTATATTCATGAGTGTGGTCCCATTTGCTTTACAATCTCTGCTCAGCTTGCATGTTTATGTATTCACTTACAGATTAATATTATTACAGTTACTGCAGATTTGTGCATTTATGGTAATTGTATTTACGTTTGTTGCCATTAATGCTTGTGTTCTTCCTAGTGTCTTCTGTTGATTTGATCATTTTTGCTGCCCTCTTTTTTTTATTGTTGTTCTGACCTCCTATTATTGTACATTGCCTTTTTCTTCACTTTAGTAGTATTTACCCTCTAGTTAGCGACTTACCTTCAAATATCAGTAGGGTCACTCATGGTGGATAGGTATCAATGGAGCTTCCAAACTTGAGACAGAGTAGGAAGAAGGAAAAGGCATCAATTTTGAAAAATTTATGGACAGCAGTGGAGTATTGTCTAATAAAGTGGCAGAAGGTGAGTTAGTCCCTCAGGTTGAAGACACGCAATGACTGGAGAAGGATTGCTTCCTCAAAGTAGAACTGTCACTGTAAGATGACTGTCACTATAAGATGGGTGGAGCAAAGTTTTCAGACCTTCATTTGCGATGCTCAGAATGAAAAATAGCTAGCTACAGATGCCCATTAATGATTGGAATGTGGAATGTATGAAGTGTGAATCTGCCCCTACCTACTCCTTCTTTACTTGAACAGTGATAGACATTGGCCAACACATCTGTCAAATCTACCCTTAACTGCATTACTTAAGCTTCAATCTGTACACACTCACATTCTCAACTATACCAAATTGGAAGCAGGTTGAGTGCCCAAGAACACACCAGCATACACACCACATAAATATAACACCACCACCACCACCACAGTGCCTCAGAGACAACAGACAGTATCATCTCAGTAACGAATAAGACAGAGTGGTTCAAACAAGTGGCCAAAATGCAGGGCCAGGAAACCTTCCTGAGGAAGAAATGGCTTTAGAATTATCTGGTAAGGAATTAGAATTATTTTAAAATAATCTCATTGACTTGAGAGAAAGTTCAAGAAAGCTGTGGATAAAATTTTTTTAAAAACTAGGAGAAATCAAGAAAACACAAGAACTGATAAATGAAAAACTAGAAACCATTATCGAAAACATCAAATAGAAATCTCCAGAAGATAAATACTAAGGTTCCAGAAATAATAAATTAAAAGTACAAAAGGGTAGACTGGAATCGTTTGAAAGCTGAATTAGTGAGATTAAAGACAAATATCAAAATATTAATCTGCTAAAAGAACAATCAGAAAAATAAACAGCAACAAGGTCTAAGAATGACATGGTCCAGAATTTTAGAATAAGGAAACAGGAGAAAAAGGGGCAGAGAAAATTGTCAAGGAATTGGAAGAACAACCAGGAGCTGTATATTCAGTTCTTGAAAACTTTGCCATATTTCTCACCGTCATTGTGTAAATAGTGTCCAGCTACTTAAGTTTTTAATCTGTACTAAGTCAACAATCCATGTATTTTGGTCTACAAAGTAATCGTAAGCATGAATACTTCTCTCAATAGTGTTTTAAATTCTATACTATTGGCTAAATTAATGACACTGTCATAGAGTTACCATATACCCCATAGGGATGATTTCTAATATTCCCCAATAAAATGATAAGGATGTTTCTGAAAATGAACCAAGGCCATAAAAACCATAGACCCATGGGGAGAAAAAGAAAACATAGACCCACGAATGGATTTTTAACTCGCATGTAATCATGGTCCTGATTTAAGAACAATTAGTTCTTAGGATGTAGCTCTACTCGATACTTGTCCTTGTAAAGAAACGGGTGCTGAGCGTAAGTTTAATGGGTAAGTAAGCTAACGGGCGCTAAAACGTAAAGAAACATGTGGTGAAGAAGCCACATGGTGCCTGGCTATCAGAAGAGCATCTGGAGCCTTAAAGACGTGTCATAAAACAGCCACATAAGTGATGAATCAACTAAGTCCACACAAAAGGCACACCAGTCTATGTGACTCAGAGATTGTGAATAAAATCTGAGGAGGAGGGAATGGTATCGGCTTAAATTCTGAGCATCTGTTTGGCAGAATGTTATGGATAACAGTGAAAGGCCAAAATCCATTTGCAGGGCCCCTATGTGGGCCTGGTAAATCCTCTTAGGCCATAGAACAGAGATGTGAATAGCCTTGTTCTCATACAGAGTGCATTGAAAAGTTGATCAGTGCAAATGTATTCGGGTTAAAATTTAACACCTTATCATTTGTCAGTTGGCCCATTTTAAATTTGTTTTACTTTTTAAAATGTCCTGCTTTATATTGAGGGTTTTCTCAGTTCTATTTTGTTGTTGGATTTGTTGTATGTTTATCTATATATGAAATTCAGGACAGGTAACTAGCAAAAGTAACTGGATTAATAATTACTTAAGTACATGGCACAAAAGGTTGCAGGGAACTGGGGAGCTAACAAATAACTACAAGAAGAAAATACTCTGAAATTGATTGTCATGTTGATTGTACAACTCTTTTAATATTGAATTGGATGATATGTGAATTATATGCCAATAAAGTATTTAAAAATTTTAAAAGATACACATTCAAGAACTAGAACAAACCTCAAATGGGATAGAACTCAAAAGAAAACCACCAAGACATAATCAGACTTAGCAAAACCAAAGAGAGGAAAGACTCCTGCGTGCATCTTGCAGAAACAACGTTACCTACAAGCTGTGCTATCAGCAAAAACCATATGGGCCAGAAATCAGTAGAATGACATAAAACCCTGACAGAAAAAATGCCAAAGAATCAAAATTGTCCTTCAAAACAGACAGTGAAATTAGGACAATTTTAGATACACGCAAATTTAAAGACTGTATCAATCATGCCAGTTCTTAAGACAGGAATTGAAAACAGTAGACAACAACTTGGTGTTTGTGTACACGATGCCACCCCCCCAGAAGTCAATGCCTTTGACGTATAATGAATAAAGCAAACCATCGAGGATGAAAATAGGGAACCAAGGGTGTCCATTTATAAATTACAGCGGTTGCAAGTTAACAAGAGGGAATAAATGGTGTAGTTAGAGAATTTTCATATGGACAGTGGAAGTCAAGATGCAACAAACTTTAACTTGGGAACAAATTTTCGAAATACAAGGTAACCATCAGAAATTTAAAGGAAAAGCATAAACGTGGTGCACACACACAAAAGGAAATGAAGAGAATGCTGAGAAGCCTAAACAAAATACAGAAAATTTAAAAAAAATACAGAAAATTATGTGGATCAAAGAAACCAGCAGCACCACAAAACAGCACAGTGACAGCAACAAATTAATGCCTCTCCACAATTGATACTGAATGTGTGTGGATTCAATGCACCAGGCAAGACACAGTAGCAGTATGGGTAAGGAAACGGATTCATCAATGTGCTGTCCATAAGAGAGACATCTTAGACAAAAATAAATGTCAAAGATGAAAGAAATATCAAACTAATGATAATCGAAAGAACAGGAATGAATGGCAGTACTGACTCCTGATAAAGTAGATTTTAACAAGCAAAAATCAGCATGTCCTTCAGAGAAGGACATTATGTAACAATTGAAGGGTCAATTGAGCACGAGAACATAGCCATGATATCTACACCCAGTGAAAAAGCATCAAATTACATGAGACGCGGAGTGGAAAGGAGAAATCGGTAACTAAATAATAGTAGGTGGCTTTAATATACCATGCTCAATGAAGGATAGAATAACCGAGTAGCTGAGCAGATACAGAAGAACTAGACACAACCAACGTGGCCTCATAACCGTACACCGAACACGCCACCCAACAACAGCACAATATACATTCTTTTCCCACGTACACAGGACATTCTCCAGAGTAGAATTACTAGGTCACAAAGCAAGCCTTGGTAAATTTTGAAGCAGTGAGGGGAAACTGCTTAAAAGTGTGGTTTTTGTGCACATTTCATTGACCTGCTTCCATTTATATGTGAGCAGCGTTATTTCTTATGTGCTAAACAAGTAGTTGAAGGTTAATTAGCAGTTTAACTAAACATGTAGTAATGCTGCCAGTCTCCTTCATACAAAAACAATTCGCTAAATGTTCAGATGAATTTAGCAGCAGGTCTTTGTCTACTAATAAGTTTTTGTGTACTAAACTGGATTAGCAAAGAGTATTTTTTTGAGCAGTTGTCTAATGGGATGTTTCAAAGCAGGGATTTAGAATTGAGAGCATTGAATGAGAACTCCAGTTCCCAGAGTACCCTGTCAATCAAGTCTCTGAATGCCATTTTTTCTCCCTGAAAAGTGAGACTAATTTGTCCTTTTCAAGGTTGTCATGAAGTATCACAGACAGGTTTGGGGAAAGGACGGCTACCCTTACTGTTGACCTTATGTTGTAAAAAAAAAGAAATAGTGTGCTTTTCACGGATATAACTGTAGGGATTAGGACCTGCCACCAAAGCCCCCTTGACACCTCGATGTCAATTGTGACAACAACCCTGGCATCCTCTGCAGCAGCGCCAACCACCTGTGCCTGTTGAGATGGACCCAGGCTCTTCACACGGTTTATCATGTTCTTCAACTCTAGGTTGACTAGAAATTCCGGGGGAGAAATGCTTTTCAGAAGTTCAGCAAGTTTATCAGTTTATCACTCGATTCTATATCTTTTATAAATTCAACAAAACTAAACACTTTTATGAAACACAACTTGTAGGTAATAATAAAATTAGCCATTGAGTTGTATGTGTAATGTGCCCAGGGGTGTCCGAACAGAGAATATCAACAACTAAAAGGGCTTTGGAGTTTTCATAAACCGAGTGCTGCTCTATCTCCTCGTTTATTTGATAATTTATTATTTTGGGTGTCAATTCCTCCGGCAGTTCTCCCAACACTATAATGCCCAGGCCATTCCCATTTTGCAGGTGCCCAGAGGTTAAATTACTGCCCCGTGGCGGCATGACAGCAGGTGGTAGAGCCCTAAATGGACTCCAAACACTAGCTCTGAGCAGCTCCAGTGCTTCCTAATCCTAACATGCTTACTTCTGGGCATTTTTTCTTTTCCTCTTTGTACTTCATTACTTTAATAAGGGTATATTCTCTAAAAGTTATAAAGTGATTATTTTTTAAAAAGGAAACTGGAAAAAAAAAACATTCTGAAGTATTTGGTAGATTTTTAGCATGCCCCTGAGTTGAGCAGGTCTGCTGCCTTCCCGCTTCTCCATGAGACTGTTGTTCATTGGGGTTGGTTGTACCAGTGAATTAGTGTTTAGGGTGCCAGGAGCTGCTGGAGTTAGAGGGTTAAGGAAGAACATCTGCCCTCCAGAAGTGGGCAACTTGGGTCTGATTCTTGTCTAATTGTAAGTTTTTCATCAAAATCCTGGGGCTTTTGTTTGTTTTTACCTCTTTTGGTTATTCCTACCAGGTACTTTGAGTCTGCTATCTGTACAGAACTGCAGTGTAGACTGTCTTCCTAATAAAAGTCCTGGTCAGTACATGGCATATTGGATATATTGGTGTGTTTCATTTTAGGATCCTCGGGGCCTGCTGCAAGAAAAACTAAAACTGACAAAACCAGCCCTCCTCACTCGCACACAAGTCAGAGTAATTGGCTGTGTGGGGACGTAGCACCATGTGGAGGTCTGTCGGGACCAGAGCCCGCAGCTGGGGTGCGATGTGTTCAGGTCCAGCTACTGCAGGTAAGAACCAGAGATTCAAGGAAAGGTGTTCTGCAGACATCAGAGGCAGGTCAGGCTGGGCGAGAGTGATGCAGGCTGCTCCCTAGCCCCAGCACCGTCACATAAGATCTGCCTTCCAGTGCCCCTCGTTTCAGTTGATTGCCTCTTCACCATTCACCACCTCCCTTTTCTGAACAGTTCCCAAGTCCTGTGTATAACCTAAATGCTTTAATAACCCTGCATCTTCCTCTGCCCTGCCCTGTACTGCTTTTGTCCAGGCTTTTGCCTTTATTTGGCCACCTTCATCCTACTTGTGTGTATCTGGCTTTCCCCCAGTGCAATGTATCTACATAACTCAGGTACTTTCCTAAGTGTGAATGGTCTCATGGCCCTCTCCTGTACCTGCTTTGCATCCCTGGTCATCACTGCCCTTGATTTATCTGTAGAAAACTCTTGTACTCCTATCTGGTCATTTAGACTCTTGGTAGCACACTGCCTAAGTGCCCACTCCCAGAGCCCTGACTCACTGCCTGCCAAACCTGTCTACCGGTTCCTCGGGCACTCTGGTCACTCTCTCCTCCCTACCCTCACCCTGCTGTGCCCTGCTCCCCCAGGGGTAGTCACCTTTGTTGTAATGTGCTGAAGGTACTTTCTTTCCCTAACAAACAGATCCTTTCAGGAGCAAAGTCTCCATCTCTTAGGCCCTCCCTATCATGTCTGGACATCAAGTGGCTGTCTGACTATTTTTTCAACAGCGTCATGTATGCCTTAATTTTCAGCTTCATTTTTAGTGCCTGGAATGGGGAAGTAAAAAAAAAACGGTGGAATTTGGGGGGAGAAGTATTTAAAATGGATTGTGATACGTGAGTGACTGGCCCAGGCACACACCACCTGTTCTCCAGCAGGCTTTGGGCCTTGGCTTACTTACTATTTACTTAGCGGGAAGGCAGAACCAGAGCCTTCTTAGCACATCTAAATGCCTAGCTAACTGATGGTGGGCAGAGCGGGCCTACTGTTATGGAGTGCTTGTAGAAGGAATAGGCTGAGTGGCTGGGAAGCAGCAGGATGCAGTCAGGTGGAAGGAACAGCGTGGGTGGCAGTAGGGGCAAATGGCAATCAGTGAGGGGGTCAGAGGGGAGTCCAAAGAAGAACACAGCAAGGTGGTGCTGCTCACAGGAAACATGGATCCTTGGGAGTATGGGGCAGGAGAATGAGGAAGTGTGCCTGCAGAGAGAAGTAGCTCAGAGCAATGAAGAGATACAGGCCTTCTAAACACAGGGCAGTGAGTAGGGAGGGAAAAGGGCCAGCTAGAGGCCTGAGCTTGATCACAACTTAGAGGTCAGAAGTGGACAGGAAGGGACAGATAGGTTCTAAAGTGCAAATGGGAAGAAAGCTGGGGCCATGACTGGAAAGGGAACTGGTTGGGAAGGGAGTGGATGACAGCTGTATGGTTTGGGCAGCTTACTGCATCAATCTGGGCTGCATGCTAACAGATACAAAACAGGAGTACACTGTGTTCCCTGCTGGACACATGGCTGTGAGAAGAAAGACGTGAGCCTGAGATGATGTCTAAGTGATGGGTGTGAGCTGGCTGGACTTGGATTGTACAGGCAGACAGGTGCCAAATAGTAGTACCTGTTTGCTTAACTAGATGCACAAGGACCTGGCTGCCTGTTCTCTTCCCTCCCAGCTCTCCTGCGAGGTGGCTGGCACACAGAATACTGTTGGAAAGAACCTTTTGGCAGAGGCCTGGCATTTGAGGAGGGGCGGGTACCCCCTGTGTTGGGTGCTGGAGCAGCTCTAGCACACATACACACAAAAGAATGGGTATCAGAACTGAGGGGCGGCCTGTGGAGAAAGGGGAGAATGGTCCTGCTGCCTTCCCCGGACTGTCTGGATGGGGCTAGCTCTACGTGGTGCCGTAGGAAAGAGAACTCTAGTACAGAGGGAAAGTAGTCCCCGTGTTCTGTGGAATAGCCATGTAAGAGATATTTTCATTGTTGCTTCCCCAGGATGACCCTGCAGGTGAAGGTGTCTTGCCACTTGCACTCAGCTTGCAGCCCCCCCTGCTCCGCCCTCTGCTCACCATGGACTTGCCTATCTACGTCCTCCAGGTCTGGATGTCTTATCACTCCTAATTTTATTCTTAGAACCACTAGGGCTTTCACAGCTTCTTAGTGGCTTTCTGCAGCAGCAGAGTTAGCCGCTGAGCTGGGCTCACAGGGACATTGAATTGCTTTTGGAAGAGGTTGAGTGGGTAACAAGAGTGGAGGATGTGGGTAGCTCAGATTGGTTTGTCGTGGAGCTCACTGACAAACAAGGTACGAATCACTATGCTCCTGTGGGAATATTGTGTACTAAAAAGTTCTGTTTGCTTTTTACTCTTGGAGCGGGGCGGGGTGGGGTAGGCTGGCCAATTTTTCATATGTGGGGAAAAGCCCCAGCAGAATTAAGTTGAAAACAGGTGGCATTACAGAGTTCAGATGTAAATATAAAAGAACTTGTAAATATGAAATATGTATATAAATAATAAAGAATAAGCTTACCTAATTTTTATCATTATGGGTTATTTTTTTAACTTATGCAATTAGTTGCTTTAGCTTTGTTGGTTACATCCAAATTGGGCTGTTTAATATTTGCCTTCACCTCAAAAATAAATACTGCCTTGAGCCCTGGTGAGAAACAAGGTTGCCTGGCACCCAGCTGCCAAGCATGTGTCAGTTGGAGTCCGGCTTGTGTGTCCCAAATCTCAGTCGTTTGACCTCCCTTTTGCCTGGCTCTTCTCTTGAAACTTGGGTCCTAAGGAAATATGTGGTGTGCACATAATTGACAAAATCATGTTTATTGTGTCATTTGAATGTAATTTTGGAAAAGTTAAAAAACATTATCTTCTGACTGGAGAAAAATTTGATGGGTGGCTGGGATACTACTTAGCCATTGGACATGATGTAGATAAAAACTTCATAACTTGGAAACTTACCGTGAATGAAGTGGGAAATAGGAGTTATAGAATAAAATAACCTCATTCAGATGATCTCATTTGTATTAAAAGATAAATGGGGGTGTGAGTGCTTACCAATATGTACTTATTGGTGTGTGTGTGAGAGAGAGAGAGAGAGAGATCTGAAACATCTACAACATTATATATTGACTCTTGATTCCTTCGTTTATATTTAAATTTTTTCAAGTATATGCTTTCCCAATGTGGCAAAGAATGTTCTCTTTAAATGAGAAAAATCAGGCATGCCTGGTCGATTGAGAGTATAAGGGCGTCTGGGTTGAGAGCTGAGACGTTGTCTCCTTTGAGGTATGTGTGTAAATCTAGTCCCAGTCTAGTCACCGGTCCTCAGAGCCAGTGACCCCTTTCTGGCCTATTCCCACTCCCTTTGTCCTTCATACTTTCTCTGCTTGGTTCACAGGAAGTGTTCCCAGCCCCAGAGGATACAGCAGGTCCTGAGGCTGCCCCGTTTGCCAGAAGCACCATCAACCTTCAGGATTTGCAGTGAAAGTGCTGGCTGCGGGCGCCCTGAAGACTTGATTTAGATGGGTCTGTGGGTGTGGCTGGGGCTTCTCAACTTCGGCTCCAAAGTCCAGCCTAGTTTTTCAGAGAACTTTTTGGTACATTTATAGAACATATTTTGCTTTATCTTTTATCAGGAACCAGTTTGGGCTCTGCTGTTTGTGCCCTATACAGAGGCAGTTCTTTGGAATGTGGGGCTCAGCTCCGAAGGGGCCTGTTGGGTCCTTCCCAGCCACCCTCCAGTACAGTGCCCTTTCTGCCCCTTTTGACATGAACAATACAGTACTTGTCACAGTTAAAAAAAAGCGAAAAGATATCTGCAGAAATAGGGTAGAATTCAGGGTTCCCAGTGGAAAACATCTTTGTAGTAGACCAGACGAGGTCTTTTAGCTTCGGTGTTTTAACGTTTTGTCTGAGAGATACATAGACCATTTTCTAAGAGTGTATAACAAGCACTTCGGTCAGGCTGATTTTGCAGTATTGCAGTGTAAATGTGGCCACCTCACAGGGAATCTAAATTCTAGTCCATGTTCTTGCTGTAAAAGTAGGCCAGGTAGGTACAGGCCAGAGGCAGCCATTCTTTAAGAGATGGAGAGTGCAGTGGGCCATCAGTGGACCTGACCCACGGCCTCTCATAGGGCCCAGGTATGGGTCATAATTTGCATGGGAGAGCTAACACTTTAAAAATAATCTTTCTAAATTTTGTTGTTGGTATTAACGTTTAATAGTAATTTGAAAACAGCTTATACAGTGATGCTCTGAATACCATAAATTGTGTATAGAACTATAATTATGGTATGTGTATGGTTTTTATTGTTGAGGTGGAGGAAGTCCATTTAATATGTCAAGGTGTATTTTTACAGAGTAAGGCCTGTCTTGCAAAAAGGCAAGTCGATAATCTTATACATATTTATTTGTTAATAACACACTTGATGGAGTGACACAGGGTTGTTCAGAGATGTTTGTTTTGCCTTGTGCCTTTTCAAGTGTGTGTTCAACAGATGCTGTTTGGGTTCTCGGTATGGAGTCACCTAAATTCTGCCCATTGTTTGCTTCTTAAATTTGGGGCTCCTGTCTGTCCGCTTGGAGGTCCATCTGCCCAGGGTCCCTCTCTGCCTAGAATTAAAACCATATATATAAATGGTTCTCTTCCACCATCTAAAGTTCAGGTATTGAAAGGTGTCCAATTGACACTTGCCCCAGATTGTCTGCGCGGACAGATAGTGTGCCCCTTTCTCTGGGCGGCCAGGCAACCCCTGTGCTTTGGCTGTGGGCTCTGTGTGGCCTAGAAGGCTCCCAAAGAGTGGAAGATCATTGCCACAGAAGTGCTTCTCTTTGAAGTGGTCTGAATCTCTTCCGCCCAGGCTTCGGGGAACAAACAAATAATTAGGATAGACTGTTAGTGTCTTGTGAGCACTGAGGTTTGCAGTTGGTGATGGGCCCGACTCCTAGTGCAAGTGAATAAAAGTTTTTGTAATGTCATACACCAAAGGTTTTTGCTTGGTTTAATTCAAGGAACTGTGGTGTCAAGTGTTGAAAATGTTTCCTTTTCCCCTTCTATTAGTAAGACTCACCTGTTGTTTGCCCAGTTTGCTGCTTGCTTTTCTTGTCTTTGCATCAGAAGAGAATCCCAGCCTATAGTATCCCAGCGGGAACTGGAGCTTCTACCCAGTTTTGTGTCTCTGAAAAAAAGCTGCTGTTTTAGAGGAGAACCGAGATGGGTGCTCCCTCCCTCAAACATAGGCTATGGCCAAATGAGAATGTCAGCTTCCTTGCACAGGCGTCAAGACACCCAAGCGACAAAGTTTATTTCAGTGGTAGAGGAAGTGGACAGGGGAACCACCAGAATGCACAGGGCCTGCCACCAGGTCATTCCAGCCTCTTCTGATTGCGGGCTTCTTTCATGCTGTCAGCCACACTGCCTACGTGGCTTTGAGAAAGTTAGGTGAAGAAGAGGATCAGCTCTTCCTTGTCCTTATCCATGAAAATGTGCTCAGATGACTTCTTTGTTTTGAGAACTGGGGGCTTGGAGCGGGACACCAGTTTCCTGCCTTTCTGCAAAGAGGAAATGAATGTCATCAGTGTCTGCTTTATGCCATGTCTGCCTCACAGGCTCACCGAAGAGTGATTCTCAGACAATCCCAAAGCTTCAAGTGGAAGAAGCCAGAGGACTTGGGCAGGAGGCTGGCCTGCCTGCGACCTCAGTGGTCCCAGTCAATTCTGACCAGCCCAGCAGCACCGAGGGTTGACTTGATTGTAATATAGCTTGGGTGTGTGTAAAAAGCATGCACCAGCATTTACTAAAATCAGTTCCTTGGAACACTTAACTCCTGGATACTGAGAAAAGTGGCTGCTTGGTCTCATAGCTCTGGAAATTCTAGACAGCCTATTATTTCTTTTGCTGCATAATTGTTTTAGAGGTGGGGGTAGTGCTGGTTTGAGCAAGAAGGCACCTGTCTGCCTTTTCAGGTGGGAGGAGGCATCCAAGTACCTGGCCTGTTGTTGGGACAAACTTGTTGCCAGGGCTTGCTTTGACCAGAGTTCTCCTTGACCTCAAGGCCTTTGGCTGTTCTCCATTTGTCAGGTAGGGATGTGGAGGGGAGGCCAGGTGATAAGAGGAGTGGCCTGAGTGAAGGGTCATATTAGACCTGATGGGATTGTAGGGGTATAGAAGTAGGCAGCTGATTTGTCTACCTTCGTTAAGTACATTGGCTACACTGGGATGTGAGGCCCCTGTCTGGTGGCCAATCATGGACTAAGAGTGTATGGAGGAGGCAAGAGTGCCTGTCAAGGCCTTGCAGCACAGTGTGCCTAGTATTGGGACTTATTTTCCCCTTACCTGTACACCTTTCCTCTACCCCCAAGATGATCACTTACTTTTTTCTTGATATCTGCCTGGGCCCGGGCTCGGGCCCGGCGCAGACGTTCCTCCTGGAGCAGCTTCTGCATCTGGGTCTTCTCTTCTCGTAGTCTGGGTGGCAAGAAAGGGCATGGTAAACCGGGGAAGCCTGCCAGCCTGCCCACCCCAGCCACATTGTCCTGAAGTTAGGCCTTGCCATAGCAGAACTTTGACATCTTCCCACAGCCAAGGATGACACTTTTCTGGTCAAGATGCTTGTGCCATAGGGGTGGACATACCTCTTCTCAGGGTCCTCATTAAGATCCTCAGACCATCCCCATAGGTGCTTACATAAGCTTGATTCTCACTATTCTGGACAATCATCATTACTACCCTTGTATGCACAGAACGAGTCATTGTGATCTTTGTCCTGCCCTTTGGGTCAGCCAGCATATCAATACCAGTTGCAAGCAGGGTAACAGGCCATGGAGACCAAGCTATTGTGCTTGTCGGCCAGACATATAGGTACCCATTGGCAGTTCACAGTGGGGTCTCAGGGCTGGGAAGGCAGGGCTATGGGTTGGATGCGTACAGATACTGGGCCTATGTGGAGACCCTGTGGGCCACCTACCAAGGATGGGCCAACACTGGACTCTTCAGAATTTGGCATATGTGCCTGATAACCACTTGCACCAAACTTAAACACTGAGGCTGTAATGACTGTGCTTCACCCGCCCCTCCCCTGCCTTCACCCCCCCCCTCTCCAATCTTGCCAGAAAGAAAATTGTAGCCACCGTCTAATTGGCCTTATTTACCCCTTGCATAAAGCCCTTCAAAGAGGACCCTTCCCGGTCAGGCCCCTGCAAGGGTACTCTGCCCCAGCTCTTCTAGACTCTGCCTTCCTGGAGCCTCGGCTTGGCCCTTACATGTTAATAATCACTATTACTGTTGCCTTTTCCAGGAACCCTCTCAGGGTGAGTTTGGGATCCCATTGAGCCTCTTGCAAAGATTTCTGGGTTGCCCTGTCATAGCCTTGCTCTCATCAGTCCTGCAGTGCCCCCATTTTGGCATTTCTGGGAAGGCAAAGAGTACATGTCAACCTTTTAAGCAAAGTTCAGACCTACCCAGCGTCTAGGTCAGGATGGCTGCCTACACCCCAAGCCAAATAAAACTCACTGCCATCAAGTTGATGCTGACTCATAGCAACCCTACCGGAAGGGCAGAACTGCCCCTGTGAGTTTCCAAGACTAACTTTGGGAGTAGAAAGCCTCATCTTTCTCTTGGAAGAGTGGCTAGTGATTTCAAACTGTAGACCTTGCAAATTGCAACCCACCATGTAGCCACTATGCCACCAGGGCTCCTTACCTAGACACATGCATTAAAACCTTCTACAACAAATACAGAAAAAAAAAAAAAGAAAAACCAGGTCCTGGAATCTTGAAAGACAAGGTAATAGCTAAGTAAACTGAATTAACAAAGTGAATCTTCCACACCCATTAAAGTAGCAAAGCAGGGCCCAAATCAACCCTGTTTGGCAGGGCTACTTAGTACTACTAGAAGGTACAGGCCCACATGCTACCAAGTTGACTAGAACTACATAGTCTATGTGGGGTGTTTTCTAGTTTGTCCTTTTGCAACTTTTATTCCTCACTGAACCAGTAAGACTGACAGGTTAGGCAGTATGAGCATACTCTTCGTTGAAGTGTAGTTGCTGCCTCTAGCCTGAGACTAACTAAAAAAAAGTCCCCTTCCTTCCAAAAGCTGTAGGTGGAACTGCCACAAAGGCACTCCAGCAAAAACCACCAAAAGCTGTCTGCAACTGAGTGGAGAACATGTTCGAATAACTGCTGTTCTCGGCCTAATTGGAGAGCCTGCCCAAACTGCTGTTTTATTTATTTTGCTTTTCTTTTATGGTTTCTGTTATTCCTTTCCTGTACCACTTGATGGAGTCAACTGTCTCTGCCCGCCGGCCCCACTCAACACCTCCCCTCCCACCCCCACCCATAGGATCCAGCTACCCTCCACCCCCTAATAACTCTGCTTTGTGGAGATAGCACTCAACCAATGTCCACATGAAGACCGGGGCTAAAAATAGCCAATAAACAGCCAAAGGAATTTTCTAAAGAAGAAAAGGCAACTACCAGAAAAGGAATGATCCTCAGATACACTCAACAGGTGGAGAAAAATGATGGAATAAAGAAAAACTCAAAACCGACAATAAGAAAACAAATAGAAATCCAGAGGATTAATATAAAGATAATAGATTGAGACATTTGAAAACTGCAAAGCAGGATTCAAGCAATGGAAAGCCAAATTAGCATGGGGACACATTTCTCAACTTCATTCTATGAGAGCAATCAACAAAAAGCAAAAAGGTTGAAAGTCTAAATTTTGTGGGATAATATCAAGAGGAACAGCTTAGTCAAATTGGGATTTCAGAACAGGAAGAAATAAAATATATACAGAGAAAATATAGCAAGAAGTCCTGGAAGAAAACACCCCTTAGAGTGGGGAGGTGGTGGTGGGGGAAATTACAAAGGGGCACCAATAAGATTAAGCTCAGGTTTTTCAGCAGAAAACATCCAAGCAAGAAGACAATGAGATGACGTTGCTGAAGGGTGGGGGATGAGAAGCCAACCCCAAGTCATTATCCAACAAAATTATCCCATAAATATGAGAGTTAAATAAGGGTATTTCCAAAAAACAGAAATAAAAGGAATTCAGATTTACAAAAAGTACTAAGGGGGAGAAGGGGACAGAGAAACAAGAATAGACATAAGCCAGAGATCATACAATGAATGCCCCCACCAAGAAGGAACCCACTTAAAGCAGTATTCAAGGTAAAGGTACAAGACTGATTGAGGAGCTAGAGGTAGCTGCAATGAAGACAGAGTACATAGAAAACATTGGCATGTAGAAGAAGACATGTATTTCACAAAGAACAGACAAATTTGGGAAGAACATAAGGTAACCTCAGAGAAAATGAAAAAATCTCATCAAAATAAAAAAAAAACAGAAGTGTAATAACAAAACTACCTGCCATTGAGTTTATTCTAACTCATAACACCCCTGTAGGACAGGGTAGAACTGCCTTGTGGGTTTCCAAGACTGAGTGTTCAACGCTATGGGAATAGAAACCCTTGTCTGTCTGCTGTGGAACAGCTGGTGGTTCTGAACTACAGACTTGAGTTTAGTAGCCCAGTGCATAACCACTATGCTGCAAGGGTTTAAAACAAAAAACGAGAAAATGCCAAAGGGAACTCATAAAAATTTAGGAGAAACTAAGGAACCAATAATACCAAGCACACACAAAAGCAAACACCCATATCAATGATGACAGTGCAAATGGATAACTATATACTTGAGTATAAGCTGACCCGAATATCAGCCAAGGCACCTCATTTTACCACAAAAACTGCATTTAAAAAATGTGCTGGAAAAACATGGCTTATACACAAGTATATATGGTAAATGTACCAGTGGAGAGACAAGAGTAGCAGACTGGATAAGAAGACAGCCCCTTCAATATGCTGCTTACGAGAAACACACCTTAGACAACAGACTAAAAATCAAAGGATGGAAAATATCAAGCGAATGGCAAAGCAGGAGTGGCAATATTAATGTCTAATGAAATGACTTCAAGGCTAAATCCATCATGCGATACAATGAAAGTCAATATGTAATAACGGGACACTAGAACAAGGAGACATAACCATAAAACAGGTCTCCAATGAAAAAACCCTCAAGATACATTAATTGAACTCTGAGCAGCAGCTCTCAATCTGTGGGTCATGACCCCTTTGGGGGTTGAATGACCCTTTCAAAGGGGTCGCCCGATTCATAACTAGCAAAATTACAGTTATGAAGTAGCAACATGAACTGTATTAAAGGATCGCAGCATTAGGAAGGTTGAGAACCACTATCTTAGAGGGTTGAATAGAGAAATAGATAATATGACAATAATAAAATACTTCAATACACCACTCTTGAGGAAGGACTGATATTGAGAAAGAAATTTACTAAACCCAACTTGATTCTTTAAAGAAATGGGAAAATTAATTATCAATTGCTTTGGTAGTAAATTATTTAATGTGGCTCTTCGAGCCAAAGTCTCTAACTCCCACCAAATGACCCTCTTGTATGTGTTTAGATAAGAAGATGGAGAAGATACTGATGGGATTCACCTGGAAGTAATTGCTAACAGGATACGTTGTGATTGCCATCCAGCTGTGTGTGAAATGAATCTGAAAAGTGACAGAGGGGCTCTCGCTACCAACAAGAGCCAGTAGTAGAGCACATCCTCTGGCCCTGTAAATCGCTGCACAGTGAACCTACTGAATTCAGAATACAGCTGTGACATCAGAGGCGCGACAGCAGAACCAGGAAGCAGAGCATGAAATGAAATGGTGGACCTCCCAGGCCATAGAGACAGTAAAACAGGATGCTGGCTTGTGGAGTGCCTCTGAGTGCTTAATTGTGGAGCTAGGCTTGATAACCCACAGAGCTTAAGCTGAATACCTTTGGGTTGAGGCTTATAGTGAAGTAGTGTGCCCTTTGGACCTTATTAGCAGCTCTGAAAGAACTACCGTATATAAGATCCTGAAGAATCATTGTATCCTGAGCACTTCTCACTGGCATTACAACCTGTTAACTTTCATAATAAACCTTTTCATCATTAGTCTTGTCTGTGAGTTGTTTAGCCATTGCAATGAATACTAGAGCCTAAATGGGGAAAAAAAGCAGGTATCTGAGACAACTCACCAACTTTATATGAAGAGGCAAGAGACCCAGCATAAGCAAAGAACAACTTAAGAACAAAGTGGGATGCCTTCCCCAAACAGCCTAATACTGGCACAATGATAGATGTGGAGACCAATGGAACAGAGTAGGAAACCCAGAAAGAGATCTATTCACCTACAGACAGCTGATTTTTGACAAAAGGCTGAAAAACATTAAATGAGGAAGAGCGTCTTTTCAACAAATGGTGCTGGCAGAGTTGAATTTCCATCTAGAGAAGACAAACTGGATTCATACTTCTCCCCGTAAACAAGATGAACGATGGATTAAAGACCCGAATGTAAATTCCAGAGCTATAGAGGTCATCAATGAGACAATAGGGACAAACTTAAGGACCCTAATAAAGGGCATAAACTACCAAACATAACAAAAAACACATAGCCAAAGAACACAGATGGCTGGGACCTACTAAAATAAAGCATACAAAAGAATAAGAAGAACTGACCAAGTAGGAAGTTTTTTTTTAATTTTAGTAATGACACAAGGGACTACATTCTAAAATCTGTAGAAAAGTACATCATTTCAACAAGGATAACCCAGAGAACATCAACAGACAATTCACCAGTAAAGACATCCATGCTGCCAACATGCGTGAAGAAATGCTTATATTTACTAGTTCTCAAGACAAAATGAAAATGATACTACCTTATACTCGCATTCACAACAAATTTTTTTTAAAAAAGATGCTGGAGAGGTAGTGGAAACATTGGAACCCTCATCCCTGCTGGTAGGACTAAAAATGTGTAACCGCTGTGGAAAGGCATATGGTGCTACCTCAAACAACTGGTAATAGAAAGTCCATATGACCCAGCAACCCCTTGGCTGAGTATACACCCTTAAGTAGGTAGGATCCCTAACAGGAAAAGGCTTGCACATTCATGTCTATCACAGCAGTATTTAAAATAGCAAGAAAATGAAAACAACCTAAATGATCATCAGTAAGTAGAAGCACGGATAAACTTTGGTACATACACATCTGGAATACTATGCATCACTAAAGGATAATGATATATCTGCATTATGGCATGATCTGCATCATGGCATGATGGACCTGGAGAACTTTACGCTAAGTGAAATTAGTCAATCACCAAAGGACAATATTATATAAGACCACTGCTATAAAGAAAAAAATCAAGAAAAAATGTTTTCATACCAAAAGAAACAGACTTTTATGGTTGCCCAAGGGGTTGAGAGTGGGTGGTGATTGGAGGATAGACAGGTGTTACCTTGGGTGAAGGAAGAACTTATACTTCACGAGAAGAGAAATCTTAAGTTGGATGGGGAGTCCGGGTAAGCTATTGAGGTTGATAAGTAGTTGTTGAATACAAAACTGATTATCTGAAATGTAAACCCTCACTAATTCACAATAAAAAGTGCCTGCGATTGGCCCTGCGGGAAGGGCAGTGCCCACCTTAATCTGCGCTCCTTCTCCTTTGCCTTCTCAGCCTGTTCCACCTTGCCTGGGGGCACGCGCTCCAGGCTCTCGAGCAGCTCGCCCAGCTGGTGCTCAATGATGGTCAGCATCTGTACTGTGCCCAGGTTGGCATCCTGATGGCTGCCAATGCAGTGCCGGTACACATCTAGCACCTTATAATTCAGGCTCTCCAGCAGCTTGTCCTGCCGGAGGTGGATAGGCCCTCATCAGCTTGGCTACTCCATTGTTAGTTGATGTCTCCCCCAAAGGGGTAAGGAGCATGACTCAGGAGCTGCCTTGTACAGAATGCAGAATCAAGGCTAGGAAACGCCCTTTCCCCCCTGTGATCGGCCAGAGGGTATAGTAGGCACTCATTTTTCCAGGGTTCTTCTGCTAGCTGCTACAAGGTGCCCATCACTGCCCAGCCCCTACTCTAGGTAGTTCTCTGATGGCCCCCTACCAAGACAACTTTTTGTTCCATGCTTTCTGCATGTCCTGGGACAAATCATCTCCCCTCACTCTGTGGTGGTTGAACATTTGGGAGGCAGTTCATAGTGGCTTGCTCTTAGGCTGGCTGGGATGATGTGAGCAGTGGCAGCAGGGAGAAGGACCCAGAAGGCCTGGTGCCCTGTGTGTAGCCCTGAGTCTCAGAAGACCATTGCTGTTTTGTTCGTAGCTGCACCCTGAAACCTGACCCAGTACCTGGCACACCGTAGCCACTCAGTTTGTGAATGAATGAGGAAACGAGGTCCATGAAGGTGATTTCCCTAGGAGAGACACTGACTGAGCTTGGAGTATCACTGGGCCTCTGTTCCCTGTGCTGCAGTTGGCCTTTTCCCTTCCCAGAGGGGTCCTTAGCCAGACAACGTGTTTGTTTTTTCAAAAACTGACAAAATTGTTGCATCAGAGTCCAAAGGCTTAGTAATGTGTAGCTCCTCCTGGGCCAGCCACGGTGCCTCCCAGCGTGGGGTTCCCAGCCTGCCGAAGGGATGGCCACAGGCAGTTCCATAAAGCCAGCCTCATGCCCCAGTGGTGCCGTTCACTCACCTCATAGCCTGTCAGAGCTGAGCGGGCTCTTTTCCATCTGTGGGTCCCGTGGTAACATCTCTTCCTGCTCTCTCCTTCCCTCCTGTGCCCACTCCCTGCCAGCCTACCTGCTGGGCACCGTGGTACTCTCCAAAGTGGAAGACTCGGGCTTTGAGCTCCAGTTCATAGGCTCTCTCCTCCTCTTGGGTAATGGACATCATCATCGTGCTGATCCACTGCTTCAGCTGTTTGATCTCGCGGTCCCTGAGTGAGAGGAGGATTGATCAGCAGGGTGGGCTCACTCAGCTGGGCTCAGGAACTCCCATCGGAGCCAGTGCTGGCTGGCCTCTGTCCTAATTGAAGTCATCCATGCATGTTTGCATCGGGCTTTGTATGTGGTAGGGGCCCAAATCATTCGCATAGTGCATCATTATTCTAAATGTATAGTTCAATGGATTTTAATGTTATGAATAAACTTGTCCAGCCATTACCGTCATCTAATTTTAGACCATTTTCATCCTTTACCCCAGTAGAAGACTGTATCAGTAATCACTCCATTTGCGGCCCTTGCCCTCCCCACCCCCAAGTTCTTGGCAGTCATCATGATTGACTTTCTCTGCACTGAATGCCCTATTCTGGACATTTCATATAAATGGAATCACATAGTATCTTTTGTGCCTGACATCTGTCACTGAGTACTCATCCGTGTTGTGGCATCACAACAAATGTCATTTCCTTTTTCAGCTGAATAGCATTTGTCTCATTATAGACCAATTTGTTTATCCACTCATCAGACATTTGAGTTGTCTCCACTTTGGGGCTGTTATGAATAATCCTGTGAAAGTCCATGTGGAAATTTTTGTGTAGACATAGGTTTTCAATTTACTTGGATGCACATTGAGTGTAAACTTGGAAAAAAGCAACTTTCAAATTAAATAGCAAAATCAAGGCCTTTAACATGATTGTTACATGGCCCACAGACCAGGAATTTCTAGAACTGGAATTCCAGTATGTTCAGTAGTTTGCAAGGGTCTCACTAGTATGTGTCAGCTGCAGGCATGTGCTAGTTACAATGATGGCAGTGGCAGCCAGCATTCAGCTATCTGGAAGCCTTAGCGATGTCCTCCCCATCCCACGTAAGGTTCATTGTCTCCTCCTTGTTGATGTCAACTCCTAGTGTTCTTCATTTTACACAGAACACCACTGGCTGTGGCTCCTTTTGTGCTCAGAACCCCCAACCCCCACCCCGATTCATTGGCCCCAGAAGTGTAAGCCTCAGGTCCCACCCACCGGCTGTGTCCAGGCTGCAAGGATTATGGATGGAATTGACTCAGGGCTGGGCTGCTGAGGACACGGGGCAGGCCAGGAGCCCATGAGCAATCTATACCTGGAGTTCATAACCTGCCCTGGTGTGTGGGCCCACCAGGGAAATAAGTGATGAGCACCTCCTGGGCCCCGGGCCCCAGATGCCCAAAGGAGATGAGTGTGCATGGTTCTGGGATACATCTTGTAAATGATACGCAGGTGCATTCTTTCACTGCCACTGGTCCATCTGCGCACAGTGGTGACTGCTTGACCTCTGCCTGATTATCTGTCTTTTGGGCATATGGACTAGGTTTTGCACTATTTCTTGGGGTGATTGGGGAAAATAGACTTTTTCTTTCAGTGATCTTTAAAATGTTGGGGTTACAATCCTTTCTCATCCAAAGAGCTCCAATTGCCCAGGTCTTAGAACTACAGAGTCATGACAGCATTGTGAAATGTTCTTCCAGGGGCAGGCCCTCTGTCACTCAAGACCACCTGGCTGCCCTCAAGTTGATTCCTACTCAGAGTGACCCTCTATAGTTTCTGGGGCTATAGATCTTTACAGGAGCGGAGAGCTTGGTCTGCCTCCCAAGCAACAGTTGGTGGGTTTGAACTACTGACCTTGCACTTAGCAGCCCAACGCTTATCCCAACAGCGCCACCAGCACTCCATCCAAGAGTAGTCTGGCAGAAATGACTACAGAAATGTAGACTCTTCTCAGGCCCACCTGACCTGCTGAATCCAACACTTCATTGTAGCAAGGCCTGGGTCACGGAACGCGCCTTGCAGTGTTAGAAGCACTCCGCTATCAGGAGCAGCAAATTAAGTAGGGGTTTAACAAATAACCACAAGGAGGAGAAAGATGGAGAAACAATTCGCAGATTGCAGAGACCGAAGGGCACCACAATGGTAAAGTATGGAGCTTTTTTGGATTCTAATTCAAACTAACAATGTCAAACACTCCCACTTGTTTATGTGGCATTTAGGAGACCTTTTCAGTCCCGACCCTCGAGTGGATTCCGACTCAGAACAACCCCGTAGGACAGCGTAGAACTGCCCCTCTGGGTTTCTGAGACTGAATTCTTTACAGGAGTCTAAAACCTCACTTTTCTCCTGCCGAATGACTTAGGATTTTGAACGGCTGGCCTTGCAGTTATCAGCCCAGTAGGTATTTGATATTAAGAATTACTGTTTGCTTGGTTTTTTAGGGTTGTGATGATATATTTTTAGTGATACTAAAGAGTTCTTGAGAGTTGCCTACTGACGTATTTACAGGTAACTATACACTAGAATTATTGCCCATTCCATCTATTAATATGAGAGATATGGAAGTGGATCGAGTTCAGCGGAACTGATGGCTTATGAAGGCTCAGTGTTGAAACGGGTGGGAGCCTGGGGTTTGTGTTACTATACTATACTATACTATACTATACTATACTATACTATACTATACTATGCTTTCATAGATGGTTGAAATTCTCTTAGCACTATTAGACTGATTTGGAAAAAAGTTTAAAAGGTTTTTTCAAAACACAGTCCTTTCAAGTTCCTTTGCTTGAGGACACCAAGCCAGAAAAAAAATATTAGCTTGATGGCAATGCAGTCAATGGTTTCATATGACTCTTCTAGCCATAGCCTTTGTGACACCCACCGAATGACCTTGGTTTTCCTGATGAGCGTGGGTCAGAAGGTTGTTGAAGACACTGATTGGATCATGCGATTCAGCTATGACTATTAACAGGGTTAATTGTGCTTGTCATGCTGCTGGGCGTAAAGTAAGGCATCTTAGAAGCAGGAGGGGTGTCACACTACCAGCCAGGAAGAACAACCAGGAGAGGAGCATTTCCTTTGGATCCCGAGATTTCCTGCAACTGAAACCTTGATTCAGGAGGCAGCTTTGACAGCAGAGGAGCTGCAAACAAACAGCTGCAGCAGAACCAGGAGCCAAAGCATGAGGTAAAGCAGCAGACTTTCTAGCCCAAAGAACAAGTAAAGCTGAGATTGCTTGTGGGAAATAAAACAATGAGGATGGCCCTGGGAGCCGGAGTTTGTTAATCTCCCAGAACTGGAGCCAGGTGCCTTCTGGTTGAGGCTTACAGCAGAGTGACATGCCCTTTGGGCATTTATTGGCATCCCTAAAAGAGCTTTGTAGCACCACCAGAGCAGCGCTGAGGTTAGGCCAAGTGGCTGAGGGGCAGAGAGAGGTCTGCTTGTGGGCACCACAGAGAATAGGCTGTCTTCTTGTTGCCTGTTAATTTCTCTGTTCCACCCCACAGTGCTGGGCATCCTCTGAGAACTGCGTGGTCATTGCCATGAGTTACTGAGCCCAGCTACAGAAACCAAGTGCCACGGGGTGGGGTCGGGGCCATGGTTGGTGGCTAACGGTGAAAAAGGATGGAGGGTGCAAAGCGTGGCTGACCCCTCTGCCTTGGGGCACTCAGCCTTGGGTGCTGGAGGTCCGATGTGGGCCCCCACACCATTCTGTCCCTGGTATTAAAACGCAAACTGTCGTCAAGGTCATTCATGAGACCAAGCTGATGTGTAAACCCATCAGCAGTGGCACCCCCATTAGCATATAGGGTGTGTCTGTGCGGGTGTCTGTCCCTCCGCTGGCATTTTGCATGGGTTAAGGCCCACGGTGTCTTTTCCTTTTAGGAAAGGCCACTTCTAATGTTCTGCCAGCTTCGCCTTCTTCATCGCCTGCAACCCCCACGGTGCCACTTACAGCCGGGGGGAGGGGTGCCAGGGGCGTGCGTTCATTTCCTTAAACTGTGTGTCCATGTTCCTCCTTTGCTAACCAAGCCCTTGCCCTTGCAGAGGATAAACGAAGCTCTATCCTCCTGTCCGAAGATGTGGCCGAAATGGCTTTGACCTAAACCCTTCCGCTCTTAAAAACCCATGTTAAAAGTCAGTCACAAAAAGCCCCAATTCACCACAATATATTTTGTTATTAGAGTACCATTTATAAGTCATCAGAAACACCCCTGTTACATTCACAGTTGAATGTTTGTCAAAAGTATACGCCTGTGTAAGTACCAGCACTATCCCTTGGCAGTCAATTTCCCCCCATCTAGCAACAACCTACTAAGGGACTGACATTTCTCCTGCTCAGAAGGATGAGCTTTGGGTGGTAAACAGCCCTCGAAGAGGCCACCATCCAGAGCTGCCTTGTGATGTTCACACCCTTGTGTAGCCGCCTACTTCTAACCAGTGGAATGTAGGATGGGGCGTCCCTTGTGAGACTGGGTTATAAAAGATGGTGCCCTCCATCTTGCTAGCACTTCTAAGCTGCCATTTGGGGAGGCCACAGGACGGGACTGAGGGCAGCCTCTAGACACCAGCCATTGAGGAGTGTGGGCCACCATCCAATGACCCTTGAGGTACTGGACCCTGCAGCAACCACTTGGCACCAGTTACTCCCCCAGAAGAGCCCAAGCCCGGACATAACTGCAGCCCAGCCAACCTTGATAGCTGCGGGGCCCGAAACAGACCTGTTGGACTGTGTCTGGATTCTGGACCCCCAGATGTTGTGACTAAGCTAGCCTTATTCAAAGTTGCTTCCACATTGGGTTCATTTGCTACCCAGTGATAATGCAGCTAGTTCTAGAACTTTTCCCTCGATGCCTTGCCTGTAAGGCGTATCCATCTTGTTGTCTGTGTTGAGCACACCCCTTTTTAATTGCTGAGTATTATTGCACGGAGTGTATAGGCCTCCCAGAGGCATCCCCATCCTGATCCCTGGCACCTGTGAATAGGCTACGTTACCTTAAAAGAGGCTATCACGGTTGCAGCTGGAATTAAGGTCGCCAGGTATTTGACCTCAAGATGAGGAGACGATCCTGATTATCCTGGTGAGCCCTATCTAATCACAGAGTTTCTTGGGGAGAGAGCCAAGGGAAAAAGGCACCAGGAAGACCCAGCGGGAGAGAGGAGCGTGTGGCCCCTTCTGGAAGCTGGAGACGCAGGGAAATCAGCTCTTCCCCCAGCCTCCCTTCAGAGAGGAGCTCAGCCCCCTGAGCCCTAGAACCAAATGATGATCAATGCGTATTGTTTAAAGTCTCTTAATCGGGGTAATTTTCTAATAGCAACTCTCTTTTGGAAGCTAATGCACACAGTGTGGAACCCCCACGTTTCTTTGGCCCATTTAGTTGCTGTTGGTATCTGACTCACTTCTATTCTGGTCAGCGACGGTCAGCTCTTTTGTGAACATTCTTAGGCTGCTTTTGCACACAATCTCCAACACAAGTGTGCTTCCTTCTAGTGCTGAAACAGGTTTCTCCCTCGGTTGCCTATGTATGTTTGATTATAGACTGTTTCGGGCTGTTTCTTTCCCCCTACAAAAGGGTGTTTGTGTGCATGGAGATTAAATGCCTCTGACCAGATTTGCTTAGAAATAAAGAACTTTCAGGATGGTTCACCAAGCGGCTGCCCCCAGTGTCAGCCACACTGTGTGCGTGTGTGGACACGTGTCTGCGCATGTGCGAGGCTGTGATGGGGCCGGGTTGCGTATGTTTTCTGGGATACCAGGATGCCGCTCACCTCTCCCTGGTTCACCTGTCTCTCCCACCACACAGCTTGCCAGGGAATGAAGTTTCGCCTCAGACTTGGTGGTTTCACAGCATGGGAGAGACCCCCACCCACTGAGTACCACAGGGCACGGGCACTAAGGGACATGGCTTACCTGTGGGACACGGGGCCATCAGGCATCTCCCCGACAGGCCCTTTGTGCTGTCTGTTCCCTCTCCCTGGAAGGCTCCTCTCCTAGCCCTGCATGTGGCAGGCTTCCTTCCCCTTTCGTCGGGGAAATCTTGGCCTGCCTCCTGCCCTCTTCTTTCACTGTCCACCTTCGTTCCTCCTCGATTTCATGCTCCTCCTCGTCGGTCAGTACTCAGACATCGATCCCCTGCTTTATGTTCTGTTCCCTTTGGGCAAGCCAGCTCGAGAAGGGCAGGGCCCTGACCCTGGTCCTGAGAATGCACCACTACCTGCTCCCACCTAACAGACCTCACTTGGTACTCAGCCCAGGGGACAGGTGCCTTCAGGAGCCCCTGCCCCGACCAGCAGGGGTAGGGGGAGGTAGGGTGCATCTGGGTATGGCTGGTAGGCAAGACTGTTCCAGGGGAGAGTTGGGTGGCAGTCTGCCATTACCCACCCACCTGCTTTGGCTGGACACTCTGGTTCTAGAATTTCCCAAGAAACTCACCAGGCTCCTGACTGCCTTACCAGGCTACATATGCTGATATGCTGCCTCTTCTCCCAGGGAGGCCTTTCTGGCTCAAACTACACAGTTCTTGCCTTACTTCTTGGGCCCCATGCCCTCACCCCTAGTCCCCACTGCTTGTGAGGTGACCTGGCCAAGCCCACAGAGTCCCAGTATGCCTCTCTGACAACACCCACTCTCCGAGCTCTCTGCTTCTGCTCCCTCACAGGCCTGCCGCTAGCCCCTTTGCATCAGCCCACCGAGCACTGGCGGGAGCAGAGCAGGTACAGGAGCTACACTTAACGGCAAATGTTGGGAGAGGCTGTCGATACCAGTTCTATGATGGGAACATCTGCTTGTGCGAACGTTGCTCCCAGCCCCTCCACTCAGCTTCCTGCTTGGCCCTGGGCACTCCCAGAGAGCCCCGCTACCAGGTCTCCTGTGGGTCACCATCCTCCTGTGGGTCACCATCCTCCTCGGGGCATCAGGGGCCCAGCAGAAGGAGCAGAGCCCTTGGGTATGCCTCCTCTCTCTGCCACCCGTCATTCCAGGAGGGTGGGAGCCCCCCACAGAGCCCTGCCCCCGTGATGTGGGACCTACATGCGAATCTGGGTCTTCTTCAGGTTGAAGTTCAGCTCCTCCAGGGTCTCCTCCATCTCCTGCGTGTTCTGGATCAGGGAGAGGTTCTCCTCCTCCAGCTTGGTGAAGAGGTCCAGGAGTTGCTGGGGCTCTGTGAAGTACAGCTCCAGGTTCTGCCAACAGACAGACGAGTATGGACAGCTGTGCCCCTCAACTCCCCCGGTGGCCCCCCACGCCTCGCTCCCTGCACCCCACCACTGACCTCGCCATCACTGTCTGGGTCCTCCTGCACCAAGAGGACGTTGGAACTTGACCTGTGGGAAAATGGGGCTCAGTCAAGCCTGTGAGAGGCAGGGGGAGTGGCCAGTTTGCTCTGGCTTGGTCAGGAACACAGGACAACCCTTACCCAACTACTGGCAGCAAGCTGCTCCCTTGGGTTCCTGGTCATCTTGCTGCAGCTGGGGTGGAGTGAGGGTGAGTGTTTTGACAGATCTAACTATAAAAGGGTAGCCAGACAGTTTCCCAACAAAAGTCATTGAAGAGCATCTTAGTGATTTCAGGATTGGGAAATATTTCTTAAGACGTGTCAACCACGTGATACACAAGCTGCAATGGCTTACATCAATATAATTTCTGTTTCTAAAAAGAGAGGGACTCTATTGGCAAGATGGAGACGAGGAGGAGACATTTGTCACATACACGTATAACACATCGGCTGAATGCATTGGCAGAGTATATGGAAACTATTAGAAATCCTAAGAAAAAGGCCAGTGTTCCAGATCCAAATGTACAGAAGCCAAACAGGCACGTTGCACAGGAAGATCGTGATTGGGGAAAGACAGATGCAGAGTGTTCAGATGTGTCATGAGGAAAACGTAGCTGAAACCGTCATGAGGTGACGCTTTGTCCCCATCCAAACGGCTACAATGAAAAGAACTGACAACACCAAGTTCCGGGGGAAGTCTGGGCCGCTGGAGCAAGGCCAGTTTGATTGTACGATGGTGTGAGCACTTCGCAGAGGGATCTGACAGCAGGCAGTTCAAACTAAGCACATGGTTACCCCGTGAGCCAGCAACTCCACACCCATTATTTGACACACATATTGCCTATCTACTCCAAAATTCGTGGACAAGATGTTGGTAGCAGCTTTTAATCAATATGGCCAGGAATTGAAGCAAACTGGCCAATAGAGGGAATGGACAAACAACGGGGGGTTCACTATCGGACTGAGACACTACGCAGCAGTGCCTTTCAGTCTGTAATTTGCTCCACAAAGCAGGTGGACATGGAGTGGAAGAAGTAAGACTAAAATCGGACATATGCTGTTTAGTTAAAATTATGCCACATCTGAGAGCAAGTGCAAACCTTCCCAAAGGAGAGAAGTCAAAATAGTGCTCAGCTCTGTGGGGATCTGACTGGAAGGTAACACTAGAGAGTTCTTCTGGGGACTGAAAATGCCCTATGTCTAGGTAGGGGTGTGGATACATGGCTGTAGGTGGGTGTAAAAAAGTCATTGAAATGTTCACTAAGATTTACTTATTTTCTGAAGTGCCAAACCTCAATATAAATGAAAAAAGAAATAGAAAGCCCAAGTCAAGTGATGTATTTGCTTGCTCACAGTTTGCTATTGGCTCCTGCTCTGGCCTTTCTGGGTACACCTCCTGACTCCCTCCCTCTCAATCCCCTGCACCAGACCTTGAGTCTCTCCCACCTGAATTTCGAGAACATCTCAAGAACAGATTTGACTAATTGAACACTAAGGAGAGAAAACTTGATGAACTGTGGGAAGACATTAAGACCATCATTCATGAATAAAGCAAAAGGTCATTAAAAAAGACAGGAAAGGGGGAAAGTCAAGATGGAGTTCAGGTCTGGTGCTCCTGTTATTAGATGAGAAAATTAAGAAATAGGCATGGGAGGCAAGCCTGTGGAGAAAGCAATGGGACCAATGGTTCAGGAGGGACTTGGAGGGAATGGGTGGAAAGGAGCAGTGAGCAAACAATGCCATAAACAGGGGAACTAGAGAATTAAAAGCAACAATGAGGACGAGATAGAGATCCTGGGGGTGTTGGAGCAACAGCAATCTAGCTGAGAGGAATTACTAAGAGGCAGAAGAAGGGCGAGCATGATGGTGGGAAAGGAGGAAGGTAAAAGGAAACAGCAGAAAGATCTAGGAAGCAAAGCTATGTATGAATAGAGGTATAAACATAGGTGTGTACATATGTAAATACATCAATTCATAGAAATAGAGGTATTGGCCTGTGTACATGTGTTTATATAGCCATACAGTGAAGAAGTGGATGGACTTTGGGCCTTTGCTCAAGACCTCCCTCAAAGCAAGAACACTGTTCTAACAAACTGGCATTCCATGATACCCTCTAGACGTGGTCCCTGAAGACAAATGGGTGCATAAGCAAATGTGGTGAAGAAGCTGATGATGCCTGGTTATCAAAAGATATAGCAACTGAGGTCTTTTTTTTTTTGCAACTGAGGTCTTAAAGGCTTGAAGTTAAACAAGTGACCATCTAGCAGAGAAGCAACAAGCCCACATGGAAGAAGCACACCAGCCTGTGTGACTACGAGGTGTCGATGGGATCAGGCATCAGAAGATCACAAACAAACAGACAAAACATATTGTTGAGGATGAGGCAGGTCAGAGCAGAGATCCAAAACCCATCTGTAGACAATAGGACATCCCCTTACAGAAGGGTCACAGGAAGGGATGAGTCAACCAAGACACAGTATAGCACCGATGAAACACAATATTCCTCTGGTTCCTTGAGGCTTCTTCACCCCCAACTATCATGACCCCAATCCTGCCTTTCAGTTCTGGCTAGACTGGATCATGTACACTGGTCCAAATAAGAGCTCATGACACAGGGAATCCAGGTCAGATAAACCCCTCAGGACAGAAATGGGAGTAACGATACCAGGAGGGTAGGGGTAAGGTCGGGGGAGGAAGGGGAAGCTGATCCTAATAATCAATCCATAATCCTCCTTCCCCTGAGGGGGACAAACAACAGAAACGTGTGAAGGGAGACAGAGGTCTGTATAAGATATGAAAATAATAATATCTCAAAAGGCCACAAGGGTGGAAGAGGTGGGAAAGAGGGAAAAAAGAGGAGCTGATACCAAGGGCTCAAGTAGAAAATAAACGCTTAGAAAATCATCGTGGCAACATATGTACAAATATGCTTGATAAAATTGACGTATGGATTGTTGTAAGAGGCCCCAATAAAATGATCTTTAAATTAAAAACAGACATTAAAAAGGATAGGAAAGAAATGAAGGATCAAAGTGGAAGTCAGAAGAGACTGAAACTTGCTCTTCATCGTAGAGTAGCTAAAGCAAATGGAAGAAGTGATGATGTAAATAAACTGAATGGAAAATTTCAAAGGACAGCTCAAAAAGACAAAGCCAAAGTTCACAATGAAATGTGTCAAAACCTAGAACTAGGAAGTCCAAAGGGGAGAACACGCTCAGCATATCTCAAACTAAAGAACAAGAAAAACTCAAGCCTTGAGTGTCAATCTTGAAAGATTCTATGGGCAAAATATTGACTGGTGCATGACGCATGCAGAGACGAGGGAAAGAATATGCAGAGTCACTGTACCCAAAAGAACTGGTTAACATGCCACCATTTTAGCAGGGAGCATATGAGCTAGAACCAATGGTGCTGAAAGTGGTTACAGCTGAGACCACTCAGCCACTGCACTGCCAGAGATCAGGGCAAGCAGAGCCGGGGACTCAGAGTAGAGGAATTTCACTGTCACAGGACACTCTGAAAAGGCCTCACTGAGATGTGCCACTTGAGCAAGAACTTGGAGATCAGGGAGTGAGGATGTGAGTGGGTAAAGTGTTTCAGCTCAGGGGACAGCCGGTGCAAGGCCTTGAGTCCAGTGCGGCTTTGCGTTGGAGGAACACTAAGGAGGCCAGTTGGGCTGTGGTTGCTGTTGGGTGCCTGCGAGTCAGCTCCGACCCACAGCAACGCCATGCACAACAGAACGAAGTGCTGCATGGACTTGCACCATCCTCACAATTGTTCCTATGCCTGAGCCCAATGTTGCAGCCACAATGTCAGTCCATCTCGTTGAGGGCCGTCCTCTTTCACTGCCCCTCCACTTTACCAAGTCCAGGGACTGTCTCTGACAACATGTCCAAGGTATGTAAGATGAAGTCTTTCCATCCTCGCCTCCAAGGAGCACTCTGGCCATATTTTTTCCAAGACAGATTGGTTTGTCCTTTTAGCATTCTGTGGTACTTTCAATATTCTTATCCAGCACCATGATTCAAATGCATCTATTCTTCTTTAGTCTTCCTTATTCAACGTCCAACTTTCACATGCATATGAGATAATGGAGAATACCATGGCTTGGGTCAGGTGCCCCCTAATCCTCAAAATAACATCCCTGCTCTTCAAAACTCTACAGAGGTCTTGTGCAACAGATTTATCTAATGCAACTCATCTTTTGATCTCTTGACTGCTGCTTCCATGAGCACTGATTGTGGATCTAAGCAAGACTAAATCCTTGACAATGTCAAACTTTTCTCCACTTATGATGTTACCTATTGGTCCAGTTGTAAGGATTTTGGTCTTCTTTAGATTGAGTTGTAATCCATACTGAAAGGCTACAATGCTTGATCTTCATCAGCAAGTGCTTCCAGTCCTCATTTTCAGCAAGCAAGGTTGTGTCATCTGGATACTGCAGGTTAATAAGCCTTCCTCCAATTCTGGTGTGACATTCTTCTTCATATAATCCAGCTTCTCTGATGATTTACTCAGCATATAGACTGTACAAGTACAAGGATATAACCCTGATGTAAACGTTTCCTGATTTTAAACCATGTGGTATTCCCTTGTTTTGTTTGCACAACTGCTTCCTGATCCATGTACAAGTTCCACACGAGCACAGTGAAGTGCTCCGGAATTCTCATTCTTCTCAAGGTGACCCAGAATTGGTTATGATCCGCACAGTCAGATGCCTTGGCGTAGTCAATAAAACACAAGTAAACATCTTTCTGGTGTTCTCTGCTTTGAACCAAGATCCATCTGACACCAGTAATGATATTCCTTGTGCCTTATCCTCGGCCTGAACCCTATCAATGTAGTGCTGCAACCATTGTTGGATGATCTTCAGGAAATTTTTACCTGTATGTGCTATCAATGATAGTGTTCTATAACTTCATCATTCTGTTGGGTCACCTTTTTTTTTTTTTGGAATGGGCACAAATAAGGATCTCTTCCAGTCAGTTGGCCAAGTAACTATTTTCCAATTTTCCAGGCATAGATGAGTGAGTGCTTCCAGTGCTTCCTCAGCTTATTGAAACATTTCATTTGGTATTCCATCCATTCCCGAAGCCTTGGTTTTGGCTAATGCTTTCAGTGCAGCCCAGTCCCTACCTCGCTGTACTACCAAGGCTCCTTCTTTGGGGAACTTTAAGGCAGTGTTACTTCATGCTACAGTAGGGTCAAGTTAGAAGCAATTCTATGACATCGGATCTTTTTATTTGTTTAAATTTTGTTCTTCAGCCCTCATCAATGTCAGCTGTCAATTTAGCACCTTAGCTCTGAATCCACCCTTCAACAATCCACCCCTTGACGATCACTAGTGGGATTCCGTTTAGCACTTGTCCCTTAACAGGAGCATCCCATTAAGCCTTCTCAGTGCGTAGAGACTGCATGGATGCAGCAGAAAAACAGATTTCCTGCAATTTCTAGTGAAAGTGGAGGGGAGGGGGTTTCGACCAAGTGGGTGCAGCACAGGCCCCGTAGCCTTGGCCGAGCCATCTCCTGAAGTTGCCTCCCTCAGAAAGCCTCACATGCAGCTGCTGGGCACTCAGAACATCACTGAGCAGTTGTTCCTTCTGCAAGTAATCCTCCCCCACCTCGTATCCCACTCCCCTTCCCCACTAATTGGTGGTCCCTGCATACCTATCCCACTAGTTGCTTACTGTCTACTGTCCACCTCCCCCACCCCATTGGTCCTCAGAGTGGCCCATGATTTGCGCCCTGACTCCAAAACCAGCTCCTTCGGGGCCAAAGTAGAGAACATCACTGCTCTCGAGCAGCTGAACCCCTTCTAATGAGTTCCAAACCCTGTCCAAGTGTTCCCACCAGAGCCTTCATTCCTTGTAACACGGCTTGAGGCTTCTATGCTTGTTGGACTCAGGTGGCCTTGCGGCTCCTGACACACACACAACTTGTGAACTGCCCTGTCCTGCTTCTGTTCATTGGCTCTGCCACCCAGGCTTGGTTTGTTCCCTGATGTATCTCAACAGCCCACAGAGCCAATGGCCAGCAATGCTTGGGAGGGCAGAAGAGTGGGGGATCCAATGGTACCAGCATCCTGGCTGTCACAGGCCACTTAGTGGAAAGAACTGGTTCAAAGGCAGCTGCTAAAGAGGGGAGAGGAGTCGTAAAAGGAGAGGAGAGAGAGGCAAAGGGTGATGGGAAAGGTGTATGGAAAGAGGAGAGGGGGGGTGAAGAGGAAGGGACAGGAAGTGGAAAAGAAAAAGAAGAGGGAGAATCAGAGGGGAAGGAGGGAGGAGGGGAAAGAGAAGGGACGGGAGAAAGGGGTGTTGGTAGAGAGAGGAACAAGATGAAAAGGCTGAGCAAAGTGGAGGCAGAGGGAGGAAATAGGAAAACCAGTGAGAGAAACCCGGCTGGCACCAAGGCAGCATTGGGCTGAAGGAGACTCCAGCCCTGCTTGAGGTCTGTCGGGGCTGTCGGGAGGCTAAGAAAGAGGCCTCTCCAAGGTGGTGTGGTTGGGGCTGGAAAGGAGGAGCCCGCCAGTGGTTGCCCACACAGGTGCAGAGTGCAGGCTCTGTGTGAGACCTCAGTGAGGAGTTGGGGGGAGTCTCAGGAGGTGATCTGAAGTTACATGCTGTCCCAGGAGGTGGGCCGTGGTGGCAGCATCTGGAATTGACAAGACCCGCCATGAAGCCTAGCCCCCCCAGGATGGCCAAGCCAGTCACCAAACCTGGAAATGATCCTGCTTGGCCTGAACACAAACCCAATCTTGGGCCCCCATCTCCATCCCTGGGATCCCCTGGTTCTGCGTACTAGGGTCCCTTGCTCCAGAGGGTTTAGACTCCATGTGGCAGGGGCAGGGCAGGGCCCTGGTGCTCTGCAACAGTGGCCTGTCCTCAGGAGCAGCACTTTGGCGGGGCCTCTCATCACAGTCATGGATATGTCTTTCCACCTTAGCAACAAACTTTGCTGGTGAGGCGGTCAAGTACCTAGTTCTCCCAGAAGAGGAGGGTCCACCACAGCTGACCAGCTATGCTATAGGGAATTCAACTGCTCCTTTGGCAGCAGTCCCTGTAGGTCCCCATGCACATCCACGGAGACACAGGAGGGTGAAAAGCACAGCACACCAAGATGACCTCAGTGCCTGCCTACAGAGGATTGCATTTTCAAGGACATGCACACTAGGGCCAAGATGGAGATACAGCTGGCAGAAGACATCCTGGACAGGTGTCAACACATCTCTTGGCCCCTGTGCTGCTGAGAGGTGTGCGTGGCTTCCTTTGTGACAGGACTCAACTCACACTGTTCTATGCAGTGGTAGATTTTGAACCATGAAAATATACTACCTATTAAGGACATTCAAATTTAATTTTTAAAATTGGGGAGTATTCCCAACACAATCACTGAAGACAATATGGATGCATAAGCAAATGTGGTAAAGAGAGTGGATGGTGCCTGGCTATCAAAAGATATAGCGTCTGGGGTCTTAAAGGCTTGAGGTTAATGAGCAGCCCTCTAACAGGGAAGAAATAAGTTCACATGAAAGAAGTACATGAGGTGTTGTTGGGATCAGATAACAGGTTATCAAAAGATCTCAAACAAACAACTATCTCAGTGCAAACGAGGGGAGGTAGGAGTGGAGACCCAAAGGCCATCTAGTAGACAATTGGATATCCTCCCACAGAAGGGTTGTAAGAAAGGGATGATTCAAATAAGGTGTAGTATAGCACTGACAAATCACACATCATTCCTCTAGTTCCTGAATGTTTCCTCCCCCACCCCTACCATGACCCAGTTCTACCTTACCAGTCTATCTGGCTATACTGAGAACACACATTGGTACCAATAAGAGCTCTCATCTCAGAATTCAGGACAGATAACCCCCTCAGAAACAGTAGTGGGAGTAGCAATATCATGAGGGTAGGGGGGTGGGTCAGGAAGAGGGAAGGGGGAGAAAGGGAAAACCCATCACAAAGTTGGATATATAGCCCCTACCCCACCCCCAAGGGGATGAATAGCAGAAATGTGGGTGAAGGGAGACAACGGACAGTGTAAGATATGAAATAATAATAACAATATATAATTGATCAATGATTCATGAGGGTGGGAGGAGGGGAAAAAGAGGAGCTTGGAAATGATGATGGCAACATATGTACAAATGCTTGATACAATGGATATATGGAATGTTATAAGAGCTTTAAGAGGCCCAATAAAATGATTAAAACAATTTTTTTAATGGGGGAGTAGTAAAGTCTTGTTGCAACCAGGGGGTGGGTGGAGAAGAGTGGGTCTAGTCATGCTGGATGAGTTACTGTCCATGGGGTGTGAGTCATACAAACAAACCCACGGATTAGTTTGAAATGTCTGCTTGGCCCTCATCATACTTTGAAAATACTTCAAAGCAAGGGTCAACATTTAAAATCGGGGTGGTTTTACTCAAGAGTCCGGAGAGCAGATTTCTCTGGAAGGGCTCTGAAGCTCTGGGCTCCTCCCAGGAAGTGCCACCTCATTCCCATGGTGACTCCCTGACTGGCCTCGCTTTGTCACTGGTGGTGACCATCAACAGTGGTTGTGCTCCAACCTTTCCACCACTCCCAGCCTCCACCCCCCCGGCTCCCGGCTCCCGTTGAAAGAACTGGACAGGAATGACCTGCATGGTGGCACCTTCTACTTATAAGGCATCTTTCTGGGCTGGAGGCTCTGAGAGCTGGGCACATCTGGGCCAAGGTGGGCCAGGTGCTGACTCTGTCCCTGCCCACTCACCCTTTGGACTCCAGTCCATTGGGCACACTCAGCTGGATGCTTGGCTGGATGCTGCTGTTAGACAGTATCAGCCCCAACCGGACCCCATGGTGTGGCTTCAGGGGCTTCTTTGAGCCCCGGCTGTCTGGAGGAAGCAAAAGAATGGTTTCCAAGTACCTTCATAATGGTTTGAAGCACCCCATCCCATAGGGAGCCACCGGGTACCTTTGGCCCATGGGGAGGACAGCCTATTTCTGCTCCTTTGTGGGCCTGTGGGAAGCAAAGAGAAATCCTGGTGGCTAGAGCTGGAGCCAGGCCTCGGGGGCTCTGTTCAGAGGCACAAAGTCTCCTGGTCCCTCCTGAGTCCCAGAAGGAGAGAAGGACTTAGAGGGAAAGCCTGACTTCCCCAAGCCATTGTTGCCTGGGTCTGAATGAAGCTGGAGAGAGTGGCCTGTCCTGGGCCTGGGTTCCTTCTAGGCTCCAGCCATCTGGGCATGGGTCTCAGCAGGCAGCTCATGGACCTGCTCCTGGGGACCTCCCTTCCCTTTCTGCTACCTTTGTCCCCAAGCAGCATGCTCTCCCTGGACACGGTCACCAGCTCCCTGGAATTTTTGAAAGTCAACTTCCTCTCCTTCTGCTCAAACCACTCCTTGGGTGACAAGTTGTACAGGAAATCCTTGTAGGTCTTGTAATGCTGCAGTGTGTCTTCGAACTTGGAGATTTCACTGGCATCGAAGGAGGAGGGTGAGACCAGGCTCTTAGCTTAGCAAGACCCCTCTCCATCCCAGCCAGGACTCTCTGTTCTCCTGCACTCCATCACGGGGATCTGTGAGTTTACCCTTGGCCACCAGCCCACTGTAACATTCAGATCCTGGTCTGCACTACAGGGCTCTGTGGGTCCCTCTCTCTGGACCTGGAGCACAGGTGACCTTGGGGGAGCAATGGACGCTTTCGGTCTCCTCATCTGGCAAGTGGGCAGAACCATTGCCCGGGGTTCTGCGCCACCCCTCTGCCTACCAGGAGCACCAAGGGAAACCGCGAGCAGGGCCAGCCAGGGGCCCAGT